ATAGTTTGATTTGCCGCTTCTCGTTTCCATTTTTTTATCCCACTTCTGACACCAATTTGTTACGTCTCCGTTTGTTAATTGATTTTTCCGTAACTTCTTTCCAACAAAACTTTAACGACACAAGTCTTTACTTAATAAAACTGGTTTATTCTTTCCAAATATAACTCTGAGATACACTTAATCTCAATACTCGCGCTAAAACAACACTGTAACGAACGAACGTTAACTTCAACAATACCGTGTGACTGCAGTTCAATTACTCACTATCTACCCAGACACGTTACATTCCCCTCTTATATATATCCGCCTACCCTATATTTAGTAAGAACTAGAACATTCGCCAAAGTACAGGATAATTCAAGAAAGGAGAGAGCGTGAGAATCACATGATCTCGATGACGCAACAGTATGAACACAACTTGTAAATCAAATCAGTTGAAAATATGTGTTAACTACAATAACGTTAAAATACATATATGATAGTACGTTTTCCTACATTTATGTAAGCGTATTCATTATTATTTTGATACTTAATATTAGTAGGAAAAAAATAACAACAGGCTGTAGTTTAATATTGTTTATTATTACTTAAGTAATAAATAGCTGACTTACTCTCGTTTTTTTTTGTTTTTTTTTGTGTGTGTCGATGCGACAGTTCAAAGTTCAGATATTTATTGATAGTTAAAACTTAAAGTTACAGGGCAGTATTCTTTGAAGGCTTTTACGGATGGGATTATTAAGTAAGTATTTCTAATTATTATTAAACTTTTGGAATGTTATGCGACTTCTTTTGAGAGATAGGACAAATAAAGTATCGTTTGTTTTAATTGTTTGCTGTTCATTTTATTGGCAGTTGAAACATTTCAGAGCATGATTGGCATTACGTATAACTATAATGATATAAGCTACAACTGTGATTTTGGCGTACCACTAACAACGTTATGTGATTTGAGAGGAGGAGAGCTGGGTGATGGAAGTTTAACTTACTTGAAGTTGAAGCATTCTTAAGAAACACTTTCAACCCCTGATATAGTGAAACATGAGTTAAAACAAATTTCAGTAATTAGTAATACTAATATTCAGTAATAGTAGTCATACACCAATTACTAGCCAAAAACTATGTACACACGTTTATGGTTGGGTACAATTTTTTTTTTTTGCTTGAGGCATAAATCCTAGTAGCTCTTTCAGAAGAACATTAATCTTAGATTAGTAGTAGTATTATCTGAGGGTCCTGGGGCTAGACCCTTGACAGGATAGATTTTTTAGCAACAGATTTGTTGTAACACGCTATAGTTGGAAATATAGGAATTTCAGACAAAATCTGAATAATAAAGAAATGATGAAGTAACATCCTATGTCTTAGAAACAGTCATACGTAAGATTGAATGGAATTATATGGTAAAATAAGAGTTTAACATTGCATAGGGTATATATGATAGGCATTGTAGTGCCCAGGATATACTATTTTGGGGCAAGTTAATAGTAAATTATTAAGTAACTTTTTTTTTTCATCTGTTTGATGAATGTTTCCATGTATTTTCAGATAATAGTAAAAATGATATAAAAAGCAACAATTTAATTAAGGCATAACTATTCAGTAAAACTTAACTTTCCTTGGTTTTTTGTTATCCTGTTATTTCTTTAAAATCCCATGTTTACAAATATAAATATGTTTGTATATATTGAGGAATGAAAAAATTGAACAAAAACAACATATAGTGGTAGTGAGGGGGTATATCAATAAAGTAACTGTTTTAAAATAGAAATTGGATTCAGTACAGCAAATAAATAATTTAAACACATGTATGAGATTGATGATGCCCCCCCCCCCCAAATAAAAGTTTTAATACAAGTTTAGGCACACATACTCAACAAAAATTAAAATTGTAATTGTGTGAACATGTAAAATTTCAAAACAAATGGTTTCAAACACTTACACAAGTCTTCAGCATCAGATAGGTGTATCTAAGTGTTACTGGTTTTACAGGCCAATTAATTGAATTATACTCTGAAGTATTTAGAAAGGTAGCTGAGGATATATGCAAATCTCATAATGTTCTTAAATATGATAGCTTAGTTTGTATTGGGAGACACCATGATTCTTATTCCATAGAAAGTGAGGCTGTTTAGCTTGCTGTTGATCAATAACAGTAGATTTGTTGCTTTTTTTAAAAGAGATGTTTCATTATTAGTTAGAATATGATTATTTTCATGAAGAATGATTTTCACAGTGCTGTTTCAGAATTGTGAAGTCGTCAACACCAAATGAAGAAGAAATGCAAATTGTGTTTACCACTTTTTAACCTTCAGGTTACAGACTTATTTGCATATAATTTACTACTGGTGGGCTCTACATATTGCATAATATTGAGTAATTTTATGTTTTTCCTTATTACAACATTCAGTGTAACTAACTGATCAAAAACATTAGAGTAAATCTCATTTTCTTTGTAGAATACACAGAAGAACCCAGCTGTAATTAGTGGTACTACTTGCAATATTGATGATATTTTTTTAAACTTTTTTGTGTAACTCATATGATATTCGGGACCCTGTAAGTCATCATTGAACTCGTAAACAAGTTGGTGCATAAAGTTTAGAAATGTATAAAAAAGCTGATGGAGTCTATATGGGCCTCAGATGATGAGTCCAGATGGATTTCATTGGTAATTCTAGGGGTAAACAAAACTGAGGGCTTGTAATGTTGATTAGAATAAATTAATTAATTTTTTACTATAGTAAGACTAAACATTTTAGGTGAGTGTTGGTTTAAAATAATTAATATATGTTAAAAGTTTAGAAGGGTCATTTAATGTATGTATAATATAATATACATATAATATTGTAAAATAATTTTGAATTTTTTCAGTAAAGGTTCTACAGATATTTTTCAGGATGTTTCGATTGAAATTTTATGTGATATAAATTTTATTAAACTTTCATTTTTTGAGATGGTGGTGAAATTACTCTCAAAATTTAGAGAAGTATTCAAAATCAAGTTGATTTAATTTTTTAAACTTGTGAAAATGTTTCAGTTATATACTCATGCTATCTGCAGTCGTTTTCATGTTATAACAAATTATGATGTCCCAAAATCTGAAAAATACTGTAAGTAGTAGTGGAAGCCAGAATGTTATATGAGTTTAAGAGGGGTGATTTCCTTCCTCTCGTATAAAATAAAGGGTTTATTTAGCTTCTTACTTTTTTAAGGGTGGATATGCAAGGTTAACCTTGAATGACCAAATGATTTCTTTATTCATATGTTATGACCTAACTATGGCTTGAACACAGGACCCTCATTACAGTTTACTTGTTACATATTTTCCCCATTATTTTCAATCAACGTCTTCATCTCCACCAAACCCCAACTCTTTTTTTTTGCAAGTAGCTTGATTTACTACCAGACAATTATAATAACTCATTGTGCATATGTATAACAATTTGAAATTACTAATTTTTGCAATTATCTTTCATACTTATATCTTCATTTAATTCACATCTGAAACAATGCTTACAACATGTACATAGTACAAAGGATCTTAGACTCACATCAATGTTTTGAGACTACTGCTCTTCCTCTTTAGCTGCTAGAACTCTGGTCCTTCAAACTTCACTGTTATTTAAGTCATGTGTAGAAAAAAAAAATTTTTAACATTCAAGTGTCTCAGAATGTTTATTGTAATAGTAATCTCTCTTGTTTGATATCTTTTAATATACTGGTATTACTGTACACTTTATAACAAAATAAGATTAAAATTCAATATGCTTGTTGAGAAAAAAACAAAAGTTTTGTGCTCTAACTTAAACTGATAGAATGGCAAACAACTTATATAAACAAAATTAAAAAACATAAACTTATCTAAAACATAAAATATTATCTTAACTTTCCTTTTCCAGAAAAAGGAGACTAGTTTCTCCAAAACTAGTACATACTTTCTCATTTTGCATTAGTTTTGTTTTTCAGAAAAGTTGATAATTACTCTGATGACTAGTACTGTCAGTTATTGTTGTAAGTGCATTTTAACAGTATTTTAAATGTTTTATCTTATCACTGCAAGATGGGTGTGTTGAAAGGACATGCAACACTACTACTGCCATTTAATTCTTCTTTACTTTTAATAGGAAATTGCTGTTTGTAAGATTTGTTGTTGAATAAAATATCAGCTATTGCTGTATATCTGTGTTTTCATTTAAAGTAATTAATATTTTCTGTTTTTTTAGGTCTAGAAACAAAATAATTGAAGCACCAGTTGTAGAAATTGTACACTTACGTCATCTGTTTTTTTTTTTTTTTACCATTTGAACATCCATACTTTTAGGAAGATGTCAGCATTATTAAGAGGTTAGTTTTCTAGCAAATAAAACAGTCAAATAATTTAATTTGTTTTGTTAAAAAATAATTCTAAACATTAATTTCAAAATATGTGAGTATAAGTTATTTTATTTCAAAAATTAAAATTGAACTTAATAAATAATAAGTAAAAAAACAGAAAATGTTTTATTGTAATTTAAATAAAATGTCATAAGTTACTGATACACATATGAATTTACAGATATCCAGCATTAACATATGAAACTGTTCAGATAGGAAAAGTGTTGGAAGAAAAGCTTAGGGTATGGATCTGATTAGACTAAACAGTACACAGAAAGTAGCTTAGACTGTTTATTTGTTCATGAATGAATTTTTTTCATGTAGTTATTCAGATGAGAGTGTACAGAGAATAGCTTAGGTTATGTAGTTGTTCAGGTTAATGTAATCTGGAAATAGTATAAGTTATAAATAGGGTTTAAGAAGTAGTGAAAGTTTGGAGCTGCTTAGACAAGAGAAAATTTAAAAAAAAATTATATAACATGGAATTCAGAAGAGTAAGGTTGGGAAAGCAATTTACAGTTCGAAGGTGTGTTGATACAGTAAGATTTGGAAAATAACATTGGCTGTAAAAGGTTTGGTTATAGAGTTTAGCTGATAGAATCAGAAAGGTATCTCAAGTTTGGGAGTTATTCAGATGACAGAGGCTTAGAAAACTATTTATAATGTTCATGTGAGAAAGGCTTTGGAAAATGCTCAGGTTCAAAAAGGTGCGAATAAGAGCATAGGCATTTTGTCCACTTTTTCTATTTCTTTTTTTTTGTTTATCCTACATGACCTCCATAAGGCAATTAAAAATGATGAATGGTTTCATGATGGACCATTTGATAATGGACATTTTACCCAATCTTTTCAGATTTCCATATTTGTATTTTATCAACAAAATAAATGAAACAGGTTTGATTTGGGACATGTAAACATTGAGGTAAGAGAGAAACAAGGTGTATCAAGTATAGTTTATCAATTTGATATGTATTATGTAAGTTGGACAATTTTTAAAAACCTCATATATTCTATTTGGTACTTGTAAACCTCTGTGGTTTTCCCTTGATGATGGAAGGTCTGCATAAGTTAGAACTTCAGTTTTGGTACTGTTCAGATGAGTGAGAGTTTTGAAATAGGGAACTGTTTTGATGAGGCAGAGTTTGTGAGAATTTAGTTAATGGAGTTGCTTAGGTGAGGAAAGTGTTGGAAAACACTTAGAATATGAAATTATTTAGATTTTGGATCAGACAAGGTTTAATAAAAACCTTAGCTTATGGAACTTTTTGAATAATGCAAGGTTTTGTAAAAGTTTACATTTTGGAGGTTTTTAACTTTTATGAGGTTTGGGAAATAGTCTGGGTTCTTATAAAAAAAGCTGTTCAGATAAGAGAAGGATTGGGAAATACACAATTTAATTTATGGAGCTGTTCAGATGGGGCTGAGTTTTTTTTAAAAAAGAGCTTAATTTGTTGAGTTTGTATCAGGCATATTTTGGTAAACAATTATAAACAACTTGGGTGTAATTTTAGAAAATAGATTGAGTTACGGAATTATACTTTAGAATAGACCAGGGGTTCCCAAACAGGGGACCACAGCAATTACACAAAATTATTTAATGAAAGAAAATTGCATATGAAATATTAAAAAGCATATTTGATAATTTTCAATAAAAAAATCTTAAAAACTGTTGATTCATTAGGTGTGGGGTCTGAACCAGGATGTTAAATGTTTTGAGGGGTGTATTGAGAAAATATGGGAATCTTTGGAATAAACAGTAGTGTAACTTGGAGATTGGAAACTCTTTTATGCATTTGGATATGAAGAATCTCCAACCTAAAATACCATCAAGAATTTAACTGTCATCATGTTTTTTTGAGGGTGTAAACTTGTTTGTATATGCTCACTTTGATAGGGTCCCAAAATAAATTTATTACTGAGAGGAGGGATGAATAATAGCTATCAATGACATCACATGTAGTAGAAGTTTGGACATTTCTTGAAGTGTTTTATAAAAGGAAGATAAATATTCTGATACGGTATTTCCCTCCACTCACAAGATTAGCTATTCTAGTTCCTTGCTGCCCTCTATATACAAACTTTTTCGTTACGCATACCACAAGCCTTCCATTCCTCCTTATTGGAATCAAGTGATTCCAATGTGTCTCTCATGTAAATCATCATCTGTCACTTCTCCACCAATAGGAGCATAGTATACTCATGTGAATCTTTCTATGAGCCTCTACCAAACTATCACCTCTCATTTGGCAGCTCTTATACACAGATGTTTTTCTTACTGTATGAACATTCTTCCCAACCATATTTGGTTTTTCTCCCTTCCCCTGACATTTGGGTCCATGCTGAACAATTCACCTCTCAGTTACACGAAGGTGTTAACATGCCTCATCCCCCATGAGCTTCGAATCAGTCTGCCTTTGCTTATCATCGTGCAGACTGTCCTTAACTCGACCAGCAACTGTTGGTTTTGGTTTTACCAATTTGGAGGCAGGCCTTGAACTCTATGTTGATTTATCCCATGCCCCATTTTCCCATCTATATCTTACCTTCACACTCTTTTGTGATATCTATCTGAAGTTCTTCACAGAAATCCTGAGGGGTTTTCTGTGAACATCCTCTCCCTCCTTACCTCCATGTTGACTTGTTTTTCGTCTTCGAATCTTACATTATTCATGTTATTTATCTGTTGTTGGGACCTTCTGGGTCAGGATGCTTTCTTATCAAAGGCATATTTATCTACAGCTTACCTCCCAGGATTTACGTGTGACTCTGTTTTTATGGTGTTTCATCTTTGATATGGTCCTGTAGACTTTGGAATCTCGGGTGGCATCAGTCTACACTTTATCATTTGGTAGCCTATTTGTCTCAATCTTAGCCAAGTGTGGCATCAATTCCAATTTCCCATCCTTCTCCTTCCCAGCCCTTACCTGTCCCTTCTTTTCGAGATGTCACAGCTCGTTATTTTTCTTGATGATGCACAATGCATTGCCAGTAGTACTGGTGACTAATAGGTGGGATCTGGTCCAGTGGGAGCTAGACTTGTGGCCTTTCTTCATCAACAATGTTTTGGTTCTTCAGGTTTTGTCAGAAGGATTCAAGATCTAATTTCTTGCCATGCCTCCCTTTTCCCCTATACCTGTTTCCTTCCCTTCACCTCGGGATCTAATTGTATGTCAGCATCAGTCAGAGGCGGTTAAGGACTTCCTTACTCAACAGGCTATTGAACCTGTTACCTATCATTCATTGGGGTATTACTCCTATCTATTTGTTGTTCCCAAGAAAACCGGGGACTAGAGACCTGTCATCGATTTGTCCCACCTCAATTGCTTTGTTCACCTCACCTGTTTCACCATGGAGTCCTTTCTCACCTTTAGGTGGGCATTTTCTCCAGGTTTATGGATGACCAAGATGGATGTCGCCAATGCTTACCTGCATATTCATGTATTAATACATTCCAGTCCTTATCTTTGGTCATCCATCACAGAATGGAGTACCAGTTTCATGCCCTACCCTTCTGCACCTTATGTTTTTTGTTGGGTGGTCAGGGCTTTTGCTCGTTATCTTCAACCCTGGGACTGCATTTCCATTATTACATGGATGACTGATTTCTTCTGGCCCCTTCTGAACAGGAATTGGCCCATCATGATTGTCAGCTCATTCATGTGGCTGCTTAGGTGGGCTGGTTAATCAAATTGGAGAAGTCCTACTTATGTCATACCTAATACCTCGTACATTTGAGTGTCTTTTTTCAACACTCACCTGAGTCGAGCCCAATCCCCCTCCTTTGTATCTCTGTTCTAATGAATGGTCAGCTCGTCACACCCTGTCTTCTCCCTCACTTTCAGCACGAGAGGTTCTATTGCTTTTGGGGATGTGGTCTTCTATGATATTGGTGGTCCCCCTAGGTCATGCACACATGCATTCCATACAGTGGACTCTGCACAATCAATGGAATCTTGCTAAGGATCTCTTGGATGCTCCTATTCCACTTCCTTCTTCCCTAATAGACAAACTGATTTGGTGGTTGGGCAAGACTCTCATATCAGCGGGAGTCCTGCTTCCTCTTCCTCATCTGGATTTACAACTCGAGTGCATGGGTTGATCACCAGGAGACTTCGGGTCATTGGTCTGTAGACGAACAGTAATTACATATAAATGTACTCAAGCTTCTAGCCATCTGTCGGGCTTTGGATTACTTCCACCCTCTAACCAGACATTGTCTGGTGATGATTCATACCGACAATTCGATGGTGGTGGCATATATCAATTACCAAGGTGGCATCTGGTCAAGATCCCTCTGTTTTCTTATATATTGGATCTCCTCTATTTGGCTCACTCTCACCACATCAATTTAATTGTGTGTCATGTCCCGAGTGCTTTCAATCTCGTGACTTTCCCACCCCAACAACATCTATCCAATGGAGTGTCCCTTCATCCTCTCGTTTTACAGTGGCTTTGCAATCAGTGAGGTTTTCCTCATATCGATGCATTTACCACTGCCCTGAATCACAAGTTACCCCTCTTGTGGTTCCTAGTATTTCATCCTCAGGCTTTGGCTATTGATGCCTTAGGCCAATTGCCTATTTAATTGCTTCATTGGGTGGATTCCCAAATCTATGTCACTCTGTGCTGGGTCCTTCTATTGGCCGGCTCAACTGTGGTTTCCTCATTTGCACCAAGTCCAATTATTCCCTACTGTACCACTTTTCTTATTCCCTAACCTCCTTCATCAACAACAGTCACTGGTTCTACATCCTGCAGTTCACTTCCTCCATCTTCATGCCTAGATTTTGTCCAGTCCTTGGTGAGGAGATCTGGTTTCTCCCATCTTGTAGCTTTCCATTTGGCTCAATCCATACATTCCTATTCTATGGAAGTACACCAATGGAAGTGGAATGTCTTTCACACATGATCCCATGCCTGGGGATTTCTTGCTACTCAACCTACTGTGGCTGGTGTCTCCGAGTTTCTCACATGGCTTTTCGATCAGGTGTCTTTGGTCTCATTGATTTCAGGTTATCGGGCAGCCTTGTCTCATACTTTCATCTTTCCCGTTACCTCAGAGTCTTTGCTTCACCCATCCTTATCATGTTAATCCGTTCCTTCTGGATTCGCCATCCTCCCCAATGACCTATTCTTCCAGACTGAGATATTAATGTGGTCCTCCATTTCTTTACTTTACCTTTGTTCGAACCTCTTTCCTCGTGTTCTATGTTTCACCTTTCCATTAAAGTGCATTTTCTTCTCCTTTTGGCTTGTGGTTGACAGTGGTCTAACTTGTTTGCCATCGATGTTACACACACTCTTTACCACCATACCTATCTTTTCCTTTATCCAAATGGTTCCTTCCTCCCAAAAACCTCAGAGGCTTGAGAAGGTAACTCCTCATTTTTACCTATTTCCCTTCCCTGTATTTCTCACTTCTATGTCCGGAGCATGTTCTTTGTTGCTATGTTGCCTGCACAGCTTTCTTCCATGGTTCCTGTTGCCATCTCTTTATCCCATGACAATCTTTTTCATTTAAAGATCTATCCCCTTCTACCCTCACCAGTTGGTTTCATCATTTGATCCAGTTGGTTTATTTCTCCTTGTCTCATTCCCACTGGAACTTGTTCAAAGTAACTTCTCATCAATTGTGATACCTCACCTTTTCCCTCGCTTCTTGTCTTTGTTGGCCTTTGGAGGAAATCCTGCAATAAGGCATGTGTACCATAACTAACGTGTTCATCTCCCATTATTTACATCATATCGTGGTTTGGCTTCCTCTGGTTTTTGCCTTCCACCTGTGGCTGTTCTTCAAACTTTGGTGTGATTCTAAGACTGAGTAAGTTTTCTTAATGCTTTCTGTTATTTCAGGGGCTCATCCTTCATACAGTCCTTACATGGATCCTGCTCAGTGTTGCCAAACCAGGTATTCTTTAAATTTAAATCCACACTGTTCAGTTATGTTGACTTGCGCTTCATCTTTCATGGCATTGCAATGCTCATTGTTGAGATGAGGTGTTTCACAAGATTGCTCGAAGGTGAATAACCTCACAATTTTTACTTCATGAATTTGCCTGTTCCAGACTGTACCACCCATGAATTTCTTGGGTAAAGCAGAAGGGGATAGCTGCCCAACCCTGCCATGCCTCAATTTAATGAATTGGAATGATCTGCTTTTCAAATTCATCCATTGCACAGTCTCAGATGATGATGTTCCTTCAGACTCTCCAACACATTCTCAACCCCCTTTTCTTCTAGTGAAGTATGGGAGCCCGTACCACTTACCAGTTCCAAACCACTGGGGTGGTTGACTGTGGAGTCACCCTTCTCAAGGGGTTCCACACAAAGATGGCTATAATCATTCAGTAGGGTGGTGGTGTTCTGTGGGTGTAGATGATGTCATATCCTCCACTTTGCGATAATCAGTAGAACGGAGTGAGATGTCAAAATGCTGTTCGCCCCTTTCATTGGGAGCTCTCATTCTACCCTCGCATGGATGTCGGTACCCCACAGGCAGGTTTTGGATTTAGAGTGAACCAATCAACATAAGTCCTCACACAGGTTGTTGGTTGTCTGTCTCAATTTCCTCTGTCGGTCACAGTGGTGGTACCTGGGATTGTTCCAGTTCTATCCTTGGCTGTTCATCATTCTCTCTTCTTACAAAGATGTTATTGCCATTTGGAGGATCCCAGCCTGTTTCCTAGTAGGGGAAGTTGATTGCAAGGGATAGACTTCCTTTTGATACTGGATATAAAATTCCTGGATCGATAGCTCAGAGCTAATCCTTGTGTCCTACCCGGGAATCGGAATGGTACTCAGTTATCTGGTTCTTGAGTTTGAGTTGAAGATGGTATGATCCTCATCCTGCCTTCGCAAGGATATCGGTACCCTGCAAGGAGGTTTTGGATGTAATTGACTTACCAAGTATGGTCCGCCATGCCTCAGCCACTCTACACCCAGGGGCACATCCTTGTTTAACTACTTTTCCCATTGTGGTATTGAGATACAACATTTCTCTGGTTGGGATCAGTTTCCTACCACATTCTCTCCCATTTGGATGTGCTCCTCTCATTTTCCACCCTGATATCTTATACATTCAACACAGGGGAAAGAGTATACCTGGCTAAGAAGTGGTGCAGTTCCCCTCTTCCAATCTGACTCTCTCATCTACGGAGGTATCCTTCGGATGCTTTCGGGAGGTTCATCTGTTCTTCTCTCAAACTGGTCCCTCCTCCCAATCATGTGGGATTCTAGCTGATCTTGTGAATGGAGAGAAGTACTATATCAGAATTTATAATTTTCCTATACTGAAAATGTATTTCCAATAGGTACTTCCCTCTTTTCACACTTCCCACCCACTCTCCCGAGACTGTTCCGGTGCTTCCGTCTTCTGCCAAACTTTGAAGTGATAGTTCGGTAGAGGTGCATAGAAGGAGTCACATGAGTATACTATGTTCCTTTTGGCAGAGAAGTGATGCAGTATAGGAAAATTAGAACTTTTCCTAAGGTGACAACATGCTTCTTAGAACTAAACAAAATCCTCATATGGTTGTTAGATGGTGAGGAATGTTTACTTAAATTCATATAAGGTTTTTCACTGCTATTTGAAGAACGTTGTTAACTTTAGTACATCTAAGAACCTCTTTTGTAAAATTGCATATTTTCATTTTAGTTAATTTTTGTTAGTTATGTGACAAGATAGAATCGTATTTTATGATTTTAAAAATACTCCAGTACGTAAATATTTTAACCAATTTTTTGACTGATTTATGCATAATAATTGTGAAGTTACTAACTTAAAATTATTTTATATATTTAAAACAGGAGTTTTCATAACAGCTGCTAAACGCACTCCAATTGGAACTTTTGGAGGAAGGCTAAAGGACATTAGTGCTATCAACTTGGGTGTTATTTCAAGTAAGGCAGCACTTGAGGCAGCCAGTGTTCCTCCTGAACTTATAAATTCAGTAACTGTAGGGAATGTCATACAGGTAGGACATCATAAATTGGAAAAAGTTTGGTTTCAGCTGGATTTATAAAAGGTTTTTTTCAGATGGTTTTTAAAAGACTATTTTGTGAATGTACAAAAAATAATAAAAACAAAATGTTTCAAGTTAAAGCATGTAAAATTAAAAATAATATACTGGTATAGTATATGCTTATTTTTAATAAAGATAATTAAATAAATTGTTATATGGTGACAAAGAACCATAATTAAACTACTAGAATTCTGTTAAGTTTTTTTTTCTAATTCTTTTTCCCTGTAGTCTTCATCCATTGATGGTGCATACATATCTCGATCGATAGCCTTGATGTGTGACATACCTAAGGAAGTCCCCTGTTTAACTGTTAATCGGCTGTGTGGTTCAGGATTTCAGGCAGTTGTCACAGGAGCTCAGGTTGGTAAAATATATTTTTTCAAGGTATAATATCTATAAACATAAAATAGAAAAGTTTGCTTTAAGTGGTACTGTAGAGAAGTCAAACATTAACTTTATTTTTTATGTAGTATGTATCTAATATCTCTCTCATTACAAGCTCGGTCAGTTTGTGACCTGAAATTCATCTTTAAAGTTTCTGTACTATAACTTGTAATATGTTTTGTATATCTTCATGAAACTTTGCAAGGTTTCAGTAAACATTACATGCCTTTTGTAGATAAAAAAATCAGAATTTTTAATTAAGTATTTTTACCAAATATTTCTTTGTGAATACATGGAGTCAAAGTGTTGACTGCTTCGAATGCAGAGTGATTTTCATGTTAAAATTAAAAATACTTTCCTTCATCTAAAAATTGTCATATTTCATTTACATAATCTCTACAACCTCCTAAATAAATATCAAACGTTTTTTTCAGTAAAACTTTATCTTCCATTTTCTCTACCCTAACTTTATACACATTTAGTCAATTTGACTGACCTCATAGCTAACTACCATAAAAAGATACAAATTAAGTCTAAATTACCCTTTTTTTTCCTTTCTACAATGACTGCAAACTGTAAAGCTTCTAACACTTCACATCTGTTTCTACTGAACTTTTATTGTTTTATTGCTCTTTGAACTATGTCTAACTAATAATCCTGCCATACAAGCTGTAAATCACTTGGCAAACATGTAGCTCATGATACATGATACTGTATCAAATTATGTAATGCACAAAATCCTTGTGATTATACCTCTTGAAGAATTTTTATTATTATTATTTTTTCTTTGTCTTACCTAATCTAACTGTATTTAACCTAATAAGTTTCTAATTATTACATTTCAGTTACTTTTATAACAATAATAAATAAAGAATACTCATGAAAAACAAGAAACATAGTACTTATCTGGGACTTCTTTTTTTCTGCTGTCGACTGTTAATGAAACTTAAACCTACTTTTTATACTAATGGTACTACAACTACACTAAATTTTTTAATTAATTAAATAATGCATTTAAGAAGACAGAATAATAACATACAAAAAGCAAACAATGCTCTATAACTATCATAATTTATCTGGGTTTCTAAATATGTGATAAGAGCCTTTAAAAATTCAGCTAAACTAGCCACTGTGATTCCTGTAAGAAGAAATTTGAAACTGAACCAGGAATTATCTGTACAGAAACAATGTATATAGCATATCCTTTTATAGATTAAACTGTGGTTTTATATTGGTTATAAATAACATAGTTTAAAACATCAAAGAGAACTATTGGCAATTTGTGAAAGAGAAAATGTGACAGGTGGGCATGGCAAGAGTCTGATTTTATGGTTCATGGCTCCATAAACAAATAAGATTGAAGGCTATGAAAAATTATGCTTTGTCTGAGTAATACCTGTATCATAATGAGTAATTTATGTTAAATTTTGTACTCCTCAGAGGAGTGGTAAATAAATTAGAGAAGAGGGAAGAGGAAATGTCACAATTCTCATACTAGGGGAGACTGAGGGTTTTTTAAGATATATCTTCATAAAATTAAGAACTTTAAACTTACATAATATTCAAAATTTGATTTATTAACTACATTTTGATGCCAAGTTTATTTGTATACAATGATAATAAAGTAGTTTGATTAAATTTTGAATGTAACACTCTAAAAAAGTCATGATACGCACTTAGACCTACCTGTATTAAGAGGATATATATATATATATATATGTGGGTTTGTAGGGTATTCCTGTAAATAGTAATATGTGTTAATGTATATAATTATCATTATACTATAGTTTATAGCTGAGAAGATTTAACAATTCAATGTTTCTTTTCTTGTAATTTAAATTATATGTTACTGTTACACTTTTTCCATTGTCGTACATAAACTACAGAAAAGTTGCATTGCACGTCAGAATTATGAGTATTTATTAGCCATTTCACTGTGCAATTCATTTTCAGACTGATTTCCAAAAAAGTGTCCATTATCCACCAAAAAATAAAAGTATGAATTTAACCCTTTGTATTATTTTTTCAAAATCAAAAGAAACTGTATTAGATAGTGAAAAATAATAATATAAATGAAAAGTTGAGGAAAATTTGAAGGAAAGAATTCTCCAGTAAATGGCATAAATATAGGCAATACTAAGTCAGTAAGATAAAATATAAAACAAATTATTTAGATAACGATGTCCAAGATATATAAAAGCTGTCTTTATATAGATTCTATACGAGTTCCTGCAAAGTTGGCGATTTTGTGATGAGGCATATAAACATCCAACTTTCACAGTGTAGAACACAGAAGGCAGCACACAGTAGCATATAGTTGAATTTAATTCATTAACACCTATACAAGAACAAACTGAAATAAATTACAACTCTAACCAAAAATTGTTTAGTGAGTATTTTAAATTTATGTATTATTTACTGGAAAATCTTTTTCTTAAAGTTTTCATTATAGGAGAAAATTCTATGCTGAACAAACTCAATTCTTTCTTGTGAAGTATAAGTATACTTTTTGAACTTTAATTGATTAGTGTAACGTAAAATTTAAAAGCTGATATAAAAAAATTACAAAAGTTTGCTAATTCATGGTACTGAAAAAATAGTTGATACAAACAAAAAATCATTATCATGGTAAATGAACTCCTTTTGAATTGTAGACCTTTGTTTTGGAGGTATTACTTGAGAATAATCAGGAAGAGTTATATGTGCAAATTAGTGAAATAATGTTTGTTGATGATATGATTATCTGTGGTAGCTAACTTTGACAATGTGGAAGTGTTCATTTTGGTTTGATGTTATGGTTTTCTGTGGTAGTTAACCCTGGCAACATTGAAATGTTCATTTTGGTTTTATACTATGGTTATTTGTGACACCTAACCTTTACAACATGGAAGTGTGCATTTTGGTTTGATGTTATGGTTTTCTGTGGTAGTTAACCTAGTTATACTGTGGTTATTTGTGACACCTGACCTTTACAACATGGAAGTGTGCATTTTGGTTTCGGAAAGAAATGTTGTGGATGCGAAAGTGATTTGGGTCCAACTTAAAATAGCTGGAGGAGGGTTTCATATTAAAGTTTTTCCATTCCAACTTAACAAGTTTTGTCAATTATCATCAATGGTGTTTAATTTCAGTTCTTGCAGTTTTGCCCCTTGCTATGATTTACTTAATGTCCATATTAGGACCCACTCATGTTTTCAAGGAACAAGTTTATTCCATGAGTATCCTCAAGCATAGTATTTTTATTAACAGTTTTGTTACTGAAATACATATTTGAAATATATAAGAAGCATATTATGAGTTGGTTCATTGCCTTTTGAATTTTTTTATCATATGATTTAGATCACATAAATTCAAATCCAGCATCAGTTGTCCAGAGGATGACATAAGGATGACACGTCTGTGATTACTTTGATTTAATTTTATAATATTTCACTTTATTACCAATACTAGGAATAACAATAATTGTTGATGTAAGATTACTGATAGGTGATCATCAGCACCTGCAAAATGATAGATGCTTTCAGTTTTGGAAACAAAACCTTAGTTAATAAATATAAAAAATTGGAAAATAAATAGATATTTATTACAAGCAGAATCAAAGGTTTACACAATAATGCTTTTTGAAATGGAAAATTCATTTCAGAAATGTAAATGAATTCTTTGAAAGTGGAAAAAACAACAACAACAAAATGTACCATCTAATATAGCAAGCATGGAATAACCAGGTGTAAAACTTCACAAGACATCTAACATGTGATATTAAAATATTTTTTATAGAATTTATATAATGAAAAATAAAATTTGTAGTGTAGGGATTTATGCATTTTGATAAAAAGTTTCTATCTTACAAAAACCCAAAGATTTTAAAGAGAGAAAATATATGGAAACTTTACTTATTAACGAAAAAAAATCCAAAAATGAACAGAGACAATGGGTGATACATTTAACTAAACTGACATTCAAAAAACAACACATCATACTAATACTTGCATATTCTGGAGTATCACACAGGCTTGTAATTTGTTTTAAACACTAACACTGCTAGTAAACTTTGTATCCTTTCCACTTATTATTGTTTCTTATACTTCCGTCTGTGTGTTTTTTAGCTAATCATAAAATATATTGTAGTTCTCTTTATTTTTTTTTTTATATCTCACTACTTCTCTGCACAAATTGTGCATGACATGTTTTTTCTTGACTCAGAGGATTACAGAGTTGGTGACTCAGCCCAAGAATCAGTGCGAGTAAGAGCAACTTTTCCCCTTTTAGACATGTGGACATTATTTACAACAGATCCATAGGTCCTACAGGTTCTTTCAGAGGGTTTGGTCATTCACCTTCTCCATTGTCTCATCATCCCATTGCTTCCCTCCATCAAAGGATCCTGTTTTTTTGACAGTGTCCACAGAAGGCAATTCAGGACTTACTTCGGAAATAGGCCATAGTGAAGCATTTGCAATATTTTGAGGCATTTTATGATATTTTAAATGTTTCAAGAATTGAGAAAATATATATCTCGTAAAATTCCATGTGTGGCACACATAATGCAATAAAAAGAATGACTGTGCACACTTAGTGAATGCATAGAGAGTGACGGACCTGATGTACAATCCCTAATGCCGTTAGGTGTTGGTTGATTGCAGAAACAGGATCTTCACATATCTAGCTATTCTGCAGCTATAAAAAACAAAATATTTCTGTCATCATTATGTAGGCTTTGTAAAGGCATTGGTGAATGCAAGGAAGCTCACAAAGGAAATTAAAGTGAATGGAAATTTTTGTAATAATAGCAGATTTGCTCACAAAAAAATAAATCACTTTTTCTGAAGGACAGTTTCTTCAGCAAAACTGTTGACACAGCTATTGAATCCATGGAAGAGAGGTTTTAGTAATTACATGAACACAGATAGTTGCTTACTTTCCTGGACTGCATTGCTTACTTATTGAAATACTGAATGGACGTCCAAATTGGCGTATCAGATGGTGAGGCAATTGATGTAATTGCAACAGCTAGAACTGTGTGAGGAATTGCAGGCCCTTTTTCAGAAAAAAATATTGAAATATATGTGCAAAAATAGATTAACATCATTATTTCTTAACACCTTTATTTTAACTGAGAATTCTGCTAACTTTGGTCATTGCTGTTAATAGTGGAGAAAAAAGGTTTTTTCAAATTCAAATAGATTTTAACCCATATAAGTTCAACCATGACATAAGACTGGTTTGATTGGCAGTAATTTCTGTCAAGCATGAAATTGTACAAAAACTGGACTTCAAGCAAACAGTGTACAGTTTGAACTGACATGGGTATTATCTAATACTTTAACATTTCCTAAGACTTTAATTATAAATAATGTATTTGATTTGTAGTAAAGGAGGGTGGCAAATTCAAAACTTGCCCAGGGCAACAAAATAGCATAAGGCTCCTGGAAAAAGAAATTATCAGATTATACCAGGTATCGTGTGTTTATGTCCTATATTTAAATATATAACAACCTGAGATTTGTAATTTACTTTGGTATTTATTAGAGTGATTAGAAGCTATGTTAATATGATTGTTTTAGATGTGATATATAGCAGAAGATTTGGCAAGATATGTGGTAAAGTAAGTTTTAGTTTCCCTGAAGTAACTGAGTTTGTACAATGAAATAAATAGACTAGACACTAATTTTAATGTGTAATGAAGCAATCTTTATTCTTGCAACACAAAGCAACAGTGTACATGTAGTCTACATTTCTGGGTGACAGACAGTCAACTTTACTGGAAATAAGGATTCATTAAGCAAGTTACACCTCCTCAAGAACTGTTTCAAATGTAACCAACTTACTAAATCTTGCATTATTTAGTTGAATATGTGACATCAGACTTACCCATAGTGACTAACACTATTTATTTGAGTAGTCATTCCTATTCAAACAGAAAATGCATGATATGCCTGCTTATTGACTATTTTGTAGAACATTATCTCAGCTACTACATTTATGACACAATCCTGGTACATTGATTGCAGCTTTGGTATTTCTACATGTATGTCAGTGAATCTTATACATCAATCAAAATCTTGCACACAGCTATTTTGAAATAAAGATTAGCAAGTGCAAGGCAAAGTATCATTTTTGGTCACTTTTTTGTTGTTTGAACCCAAATAAACTGTCTTGATTCACATTGAACCGAAAGATATCAGAGAACTGATGTTTTTTAGCCGCTTGATTTTTGTATATTGAGGTGCAGAATTAACTTAAGCATTCATGTCTAATTTTGTACATTCAAGTAAAAGTAGTTCTGTCATCATTATTACTTTTTTCATGCAGGAAATCTGTCTCAGAGAATCTGAAATTGTCCTTGCAGTTGGTGCTGAAAACATGAGTCAAGCTCCATTTGTAGCCCGAAATATCCGGTTTGGTGTTCGGTTTATGAGTGAACCTAAGGTAATTTAGCTGTAGTAAAATATGAAATGTGTCCTTGGTTCATAAAATAACACAGTATTATATTTAGCAGTTGGAGAATAAAAAAATAACAGTCAACTGAACAAACTGTCAGAAGTCTTGATTGAATTACTTCCTTCCATAAACATAAACTTTTCAGAAATTTCTTGGTTCTCATATGTTGATGATATATTTTCTTATGGCCAAACCAAAGAAGGGATTTGAAAGTGTTTTCAATAGCATTAATCACGTTCACCCTACTATCAAATTTAAAGTTGAATGGGAAAAAGATGACAAAGTTCATTTCTTGAACATTTTTATAACAAAAGAAATCTTAAAACCTGTCCTCTCTGTATATCATAAACCACCAAATTCTTTATGTTCACTTCTTTTCCTGCCACCATAAACAGATGAAATCATCAATTATTTCTTCATTTTTACTTGGAGCCTATAGAATATGTCACCCAGAAACTCCTGAGCTCAAAATGAAAAAATATCTTTTCTATTTTCAAAGAACTTCATTTTCCATAATGTTTCATTACAGATTGTCACCTTAGAGCAAGAAAACCTTTTTCCATGAAGACAAATCAATGATAATATGAAAACATTTTATATTGGCTACAACACTAACATTGAGCCCCTAGAGAAAATATTCAGGATGAATAATTTTAGAATCACATACAAATATCCATTAACTTTTTAACTACTGCACACTCTTTAAACCTTTTTCTGCCCATTTCATGAGATTTTACTGAGTTACATTCAAAATTTAATTAAACCACTTTACTATCAATGTATCTTAATAAAATTAACATTATCATGTATGTTATAATTCAAGGTTTTATATTATCTAAGTTTAAATTCCTTTGTTTCAAAAGAAACCTTTAAAAAATACTTAAAATTTCAGTTTTGTTGTCATAAGCACACAAAAAATATAAACTAAAAGTTTATATTGCTTGAATAATATTCCACCTGCAGCATACATGTATGTCTAGACACAAAACTATGCATACAAGGCTATTTACCCATCACTTATTTCAAATTCCTCAGGTCAGTGGGTAACAAAGAAATAAATATTGTCATTCCCTACAGTAGCTATGTCCACCTTTTATACTAGGAATGCAAATTCTAAGCCACCCTATACTCATTTGAAGTACATGTTTATAACCAATAGAAAGAGCTAATTTGAAATGGTTATTTTAAAACAAGCACACATTAATCGTAAAGAAGCAACAAGAATGTCAAATCACTCTTCAGCATTGTTGGAGGTTTGTCCTTGCTAGCCTTTTTTTTCTCACCTTATACATATTAGCTTGATAGTTAAACTGTGTTTAGGTTTTACTTTTATATATTAGTTAATTATGTATTATTTATGTTCAAATACGTATTTTTAAAAGGTGTAATAATTTTTTCAGAAAAAAAACATGCAGTTAAAAACAGTAATGCTTCTTGACCTGTAGATCTCTACAGTATAAAAATGTAGTAGGTGAAAAAATGATTTAAAAAGGGTAGAGAGAGAAATTATAAGTTTTGGATGAGAAATTGTGAATTTTTTTATACATTGTTATGATAAAAGTCCAGAGATACAGCTTTTGAGGAGATTGCTTATTTTTTTTTTTGTTTAATTTTACTCCAACATTTTGACGTCTTGTGTAGCCATCATGAAGTAACTGTTGTCTATTGTGAGAAATACCGTGTCAGCATTTTGTTCCAATTTAGAAAACATATATGGTGACATTTGTGTTTTGATTTAAGTTGGGTTTTAGTTCACAAATAATTAATATTTATTTTATTTTTCTTTCTTCTATTAATGTTATTCTCATTGCATAATATTTTAAAGTTGTTAATTGTAATTGGATGTTGATTTGTTTTTCTGTGTTTGTGAATGTAGGGGATTGGCATGTTTTTTTATCCTAATGCTTATGTTGTGCCTCATTTTGTCTATATAGGTGCTATTGCACTGATTGCAATGATACTTGTAAATGTTTCCATCTTTGAAGTTGTCTGAATAAATCTTCCTTAGATGACCTTTGATTTTAATACTCATTTTTGAATAAAAGTAACTGTTGTTTAGATTAATACTTGTTTCTAAGTGTTAATGATGTTTTTGGTTACATAGCCATGATATAGTAAGACACCTATTAGTGTGTCTGAGTTTGTCCATTTTGTTTTCTTCATGGAGTTTATGTTGTTTTTCCCCTCTTTTTTTTTTCCATTATTGAGTTTGTTTTTATATCTGGCTAAAGTTCTAGTAACAATACGTTTGGGGAAATGACATTTGTTATTACAATAGAACCTTGACATTAATGGCACCTTTCTGACTGTGTTCAAATGTTCTCTATAGCAAGGTGCCTTTAATATAAAAAATGAGCCATTCCAAGCTGGATTCCATATTGACTGTACTAAATTTCTGAATTTTAAGGCCTTCCATTTTGTTTGATATGTAGTTAAAGCCATTTTTGTTGCATGTATGTGAGCAGTGTTTCTGTGTATACTGTAAAACATTAAATACATAGAACAAAGAAATATGTTTTTTAAATTTATTTTTATTCCATAGTTATGAAAATACATGTAGAGTATATGTAAAAAGTTACCATGCATTTGTACATCACACACATTAGGTCATCAGCACAAATATGACTATAGCAAATTTATACTCTTATTCTGTGCGTCATTGGTTATGTGTTTATTTGGTAAAAAAAGTCTTTAATCAATGATTGTTTGTCACATTTACACTGGTGGTGTTGCAATTGTCCCTTGAGAGTGATGACAGTGTCTAAAATGTCTGACAAACCTCACTCAAGTGCAAATTGCTTTAGGTCAAAAGCCCATTGTTGTGCTTGCATGAATGACTTGATGTTGGTTGATGGTGGTTTTAGCTCAGGCATAGGGGTTGGTTCATCATCATCCAAAGTGATGTCATCACTTTGAGAAGGTTTTCCTGCAATGTCATCTGCAGTTTGTTTTTCCCAAATCTTATTAATGAAAATAACTCTTAAAGGTCATGACATGCACATTTTAACCTGCCCGCAGCAAAAGGGTTAACTGATGATGACAAAACCTTGTCGAAACGTTGTACATTTGCTGTTATGTTAAACATATATTAAAGTTTTTCTTCATTACCCATTCCAGCCGTCTCCAAGCCCAGTTTATCAAGTGCCTGTATAGAGAACGAAACTAAAGATACTGCCCTTAATCTGGAATATCGAGGTGCCCATTATTGCAATATTTATTTTGGTTGCAAATAGTAGAAAAAAGAAAGAGACTGAAAAGGTCTGCCCTTAATGGCACAGTGCTCATTGTTTTGAGGTGCCCATTAATCGAAATTCTACTTTAAATGTATCAGATATTGATTCTAATTCATGTTGCAGATTACTGCTGCTGCTTGTGTCAAATGCTGTGTTGTAAATGCATGATAATGTGCCAATGTTTTGTTGAGTTGAGTGGGCTGAGTCCAACTATATATAGTTGTTATCATTACCAGATTTGTGGATTTGTGTTAAAACTGTTATAGTTTCTTTCTATTGTTATGTTCATGCAATTTAAAACTTGGTTTTCCTTTTCTTCTTCATGAGTGAATTTGATGTTAGAGTGAATGTTGTTTACGTGTTGTAAAAATGACTGTTGATGGATACTGTTTTTAAATCCATAAAATACATCATTGATGTATCTAAACCAGTATGTAGAGTTGTGTTAATGGCTTGACTTTCTATTTTGTTGATAAACAATTTATACAATCCAGGTGACAGAGTGCTGCCGCTGCTTAGGCCATCTATTTTTTCACAAGTTTTGTCTTGACAGGTGAAACATTTTTTGTGCAAAGTGGAAAAAGTTTTTCAAAATTTCCTAGCTCAGGTAGTAATGCAATTTGTTTTGTCAGAATTTTTTTTATATTATTCCATCTTTCGGAGCATTGTATACATGGAGACTACATCAAAATTGTACATTTTGTGATAATTGTTAAGGTTGTTGAGAATGCTATGGAATTCTATAACACATTTAATCATGTATTTATTGTTGTCATTTAATGGTTCAATCAGAAAATCTAGGAATTGTGCAAGCACATGATTGTAGCTGCCATAAGTTGAAAGGATGGGACAGATGTCAATTGAGTTTTATTGAATCTTTGGAGCACCAAACAAATAAGGATTATGTGCATTGGTGACTTTTAAGCTGTAGTACATGTCTTCTGTAATGTCATTGTTCTTTTTTAACTTTAATAGTAGGCTATTCAATTACATTCCATAATATTCATTAAGGTTTTTGGATAGTTCAATGAATTTAGTTGAATCATTTAGTTTTTTAAATAAGTTATTGTAATCTTCTGTTTCAGTAATTATGGTTCCAGCCCCTTTGTCAGCCTTCCTATGATAATTTTTGAATTATTCTGTAATTCTTTAGGGGATGATATTTAGCATTTCGTGATGTTTTGTTTAATTTATCGTTTTTAAGTAGATAACCTTCGATTCTACACAGTATTTCATAGACAAAATCATTTAGGTTTTGATTGCCATTTGGTATTTTAGGAAACCACATTATGTTATTCTTGCCTTGGAATGTCTTTGTAGTTTCATTGTCTGTGTTCTTATTTTGTTGATTTTTATTTGTATCTTTAATTTTGATAGATGAGGTGTTCTTATTTGCTGACTTAGTTCTTAGTTTTTCTTTGGTTATTTTCTGGACTAATTTTCTTATTAAATCTTTTATTCCAGCTTTGATCTGTAAGGTAGGGACATTTTTATGTTATTGCATAATTTAGGCCTTTGTTTAGAATTCTTTTTGTGTTGGTGTTAGGGTGGTTTTTGATAAATTTACTATATTGTCCTTTGTTTTTTGTGTTTACTATCTGTGGTTCCTTCTTTAACTCAACTGTTTTTTTAGTTTATCTATTTTATATTTGATCTCTTTGATTTATACAGTTTCAGTTGATGACTCCTAGGAGCATGCGTGAGTAATCTGACATGGTGTTGAAGATTAGGAGATTACATAGTCTTGAATCTTCTTTTTTCGAAATATTAATATCTCTGTATTTTTGTCAAATTGATGCATTTAGAATCTTTATTTCAGTTTTTCCAATTATTTAAAGTGTATAGCGGATTTCCTCCTCTCACAACATCCTTATCATGTTGACAGAACAAATGATTAATTTCAGAGATAATTTTCAGAAATATCAAACATTACTGAGGAAAACACAAAACCTACTGGCTGCTTTCTAATTAATAAAAACTGTTGGCCAACCAAAGCAAGCCTGAAAGAAAGACCACTGCTTAACATTGAAGGTTTAGTTGAAAAATGTATATTTTGTTAGTACTTAAATAGTTGTGTCATCCCTAATAGAGAGGTTTCAATATGCATTTTCCAATATTGTACACACCTCTGTTATTGCTGGCCTTAACCATGAGGACTCATGGATTTGGGGGCCTCACATTGGTGAATTAAGAAAAACATATGAAATTAGAGGATTCATTATTTTTTTTATTTATCATAAAAGTGCAACAAAATGTGTAATGTTTAAACTCTTAAATTAACAGTTACACATTTAACTTGAGTCTAAATTAGGTAAAAAATAAATTTGGGGGGGGGGAGGAAGAAGACAAGTCCTCCTAACTTCCTAATGACTGCTGGCAGTGACTTTCAAATTTGGAAATTTACCCATACAATACTAATCATCAACATGCCAAGAATTCTGTGTTAGGAGTTTTATCAAACGAATACCTACAGTTATTAGACAGGTACAGCTACCATTCGTTGGTACACAAATTCCATCTAGCTAACCATATATAAAACAAGACAGTTATTACAAGACAAGAAATAGTATATGTGACTGTTATCATTCACAAAGGAACGTTACTCAGCCATATACCAAAAATTATATATAGTGATACATACCACAGATATCTTCAAACACTGCTTGACAATCACCTAATATTTTATAGCTAGTTTGTTTGTTTCTTTGCAACTTGGCTTTTAAATTTCAAAGTTTTAGATATATATCACACAGACTAAAGAAATTTATTCTCTTTACTGTTGCTTAATAACCTTTCACCAATTTAGCCTATTGTAATTTCATGAGATAAAACAAAGAAAAATTATATAAACTGATTAAAAACCAAGTTTCCAGGAGATCAAGAAAAAATCCAAGTTAAAGAAATGGATAAATATGTGCATGTGCACACGTGTACTGAGTGTTGTAAACAAGCATTTTATGCTAAGATATATAGTTTCAAGACAATACCACACCTTTGTACACAATTTAGCTATCTCCCCTGTGTGTCTGCCTTAGAGATTTGCAAACCACTAGTCTTTAATGAACCCCAACTAATCTTGTAAGTTTTTGTGTGTATTGTGCTACTGCATAATGATGTAATTTTGTAGCAAAAGTCCTCCAACAGTAGGAGGGCAACACACTTTCATGTGCAGTAACTCCCCCTATGCCTTTGGACTTGAAAAGTTCATTATTCTACTCAGCACTGTATTGATCAGATGTGTTTAAATTTTAGAGTCTGTGTTTGGTTTCATGAGATTTGCATTGTTAATGAAACTTTGATTTTCATTTTCCTTAGCTCTTGTTTCAAAAGCTTTAATTTTTATCGTGAATTCTCAAAGGATGGTGATTTTTATTTGGTCCTATGTGTATAACATTGTTCACACTTAGGTCTTATTTCATCTGTGGCTTTTGGAGGCTCATTAACTGTCAGAATCATTACAGCTATTGTTCAACTTGTTGGGGATTACACCATGTTTAATGTGTCTTTTACTCCAGTCCTGTCAGCTGAATTTCATTCTCAACAGTCTGGAATGTTCTCTTGGACCACGTCCTTCACCTGATTTGCTTTGAGTAGTACTTTACCATTTGTAGGTGACTTTAACCTTTCAATCTCTTCTGGATTTCATTCTCATGGTTGTTCCTTTCCTTATCCTTTACCCGTGTTCTTTATTGTTATTTTTTGTTTTCTCTCTTCATTATCCATGATTCTTGGGGTTTATTTTGTCTTTTTTCCCTGTTTGTTATTAAGCATTATGTTGTTTTCTTTCTCTAATAACTCTTCTCGTGGCCAAATGTATCACATGCACGCCACATTTTATCCTGATTTGTAGTCTTACTTTCTTTCCTTTTCTCAATTTCCTGTCTTTGGTATATATCTGGTCAACTTGGGGATTCTGCCCTTTACCATCTCTTGTGATTCTAGTTCCCAATATTGACATTTTGGTATTCCCTTTTGTAATTCTGCTCTTTATCTGAGGTACTTCTTCACTCTTTTTGATGGCTTCTTTAGGCATTTGTTCTCTTCTGTGTTTAGTCTGTTTCACTTTTTCTGCTTCAGCCCTCCATATTTTGTTCTCCTATAGGCTGTTGGACTCATTGGGTTTGATTATTTTCCTCTTTCCTGCACCCCTTACTTTTTGCATACCTGTCTTCTCTGATGTTTCTCTGACACATGGAGCTCATTTGCCTCTTATTCCCTTTATTCCGGGGAGAAGGATATTTCCTGGACAAGATGAGATGCGGTTTCCCATGAGTGTGCCCCTGCTATTGGTGTTGCACTCTATGGGCTTCCTTAGGGGACTTTCTGAGGGGAACTCGTTTAGGCGTAACTTTGCATATGCCCCTCCACTGCTTTAATGTGGTGAGGTATCATCTTGGAAGTTAACATTTCCGTGCCTGAAAATGTATTTCTGATAGATACTCACCTCCTCATACACATTCCCACCCATCCTTTCCACTTTTGGTGCACCTTTGTATTCCTTGCCTCATCAAATTATGTATTTCTTGAATGCTGATGCATAGGGGGAGTTATTGCATATGGAAGTGTGTCACCTTCTTGTAGGTGGAGGACTTGACGTCATTATGCAATAGCTCAATTCATCAGAAGTCTCGTGATTAGGTGGCATGCAAATTTATAAGGCAGATATGCAGGGAAGATAGTTAAACTGTGTGAGAGGTGAGTATCTATTGGAAATACATTTCAAGTAACTTTCATAGTTATTTGATTGACCTATTTTGTTTGATGTTAATATGTTTAATACAAAACTGTTTTATGCATAAAAATCAGTTAAAGTATATCTGATCCTCTGAAGCTAGCTTTTTTACTATGTACACTTTTACCTATGTATTAGTAAACCATGTTCTTTCTTTCTTTACCACAAAGAGTACATAGATATACCCAACAAGAGACCACATTCTGTTTTACGTATTTTATCTGTAGTTTGCATACATTTTACATGGTCAATGGGTGCACATATCAATAACCAATATATCATCGTGCCATTTTGATCTGCAGTATGTGTGTTTACTGTGTGGTGTTTTAGATGTATGTTCTATCTTATCTCTTACTTCTGCAGCTTGTGTACTGATTATGGAGTGTTGTATACTTATGTTCTATCTCGCCTCTTTCTTCTGCAGTTTTTGTGTTTACTATGGGGTGTTTTAGATGTATGCTCTATCTTACTTGTTTTTTCTGCACCTTGTGTGTTTACTGTTGAGTGGAGTAGATGTACATTCTATCTTATCTCTTTCTTCTTTATCTGGTATATTTATTGTGGAGTGTTGTAGACCATGTTCTGTCTTATCTCTTTATTCTGCAGCTGGTGTACTTATTGTAGTGTTTTAGACCATGTTCTATCTCAATTCCAAAGCTGGTTTGTTTTTTGTAGAGTGTTTTAGACTATATTCTATCTTAAAACTTCCTTATGAATCTGGTGTGTTTACTGTATTTATGTGCATAAACCTGTGCTATTTACCTCTTCCTTTTGCAGCTTGCAGTTTAGAAGTTTCATGTGTGCAAAGGAGTACAGCATATTTGACCTTTTTATTTACTATTAGCTTGAATGTATGTTGTGGGGTGCTCTTACTGACCACTACATCAAGATGCCTATGGGAATCACTGCTGAAAATCTTGCTGATAAGTACAACATATCTCGAGAAGATGCTGATAAATTCGCTTATCAGTCACAGATGCGTTGGAAGAAAGGTAATTCACTATTCTTGAAGCAAATTATATTTTGATTGTTGTTATAGTCTTGTTTATGAGTGTAGATGTTTGTGCAGAATAAAATATTCTGTTACTTTTAATTTGTTATTAGTGGTGTTCTTTTTATAGTATCTTGTTTAATTAGGGATGGACATCTGTTTTGTTGTAATAAGTTGTAACCATGTATTCCTATAATGGAAATTTTTTGTTGTCTTTCAAAATTTATAGTGCATATTGGAGGGATTTACACATTTTGTTAAACAATTTAGAAAAAAACGACCTTTACACTCCAGATATATATAATTTTTATTTTATTTTAACCAACTATTCTAATATCAAACAGTTGCGTATATTAACCCTGAAACAAAATAAACAGAATTAAAATATATATATATATATATATATCTGGAGTGTAAAGGTCATTTTTTTTCTAAACTTTTTTATTAAAATTCCTATAATGTGATGATTTTCCATTTTCTTTAATAATTTTTACAAGTTTGCCAAATTTCATGCCATGTTGATGAAACTTATGAGGTTCTTTCCTCTAGCAAGAAATACCTAGTTTGATTTGGTAAATGTTTCTAAAGTTTATAGTGTATAGCTTATTTACAAACTAAGAAGAATAAGAATGAACCTTATTGGAATGTTAGACTTGTCACTTATGAATTTGATACTTATGCTGTGAAGTAATCATTTAAAAACATAATTAAAAATTGTTCCATTATTTTTATTTATTATAGTCTCTTAAGTTAGTGGCATGTGAGTACGAGTTTTATTTAACTCAAATTTTTGAGTTAAATAAAAACTTGTTTTTCCAGCACAATCTTGTTCATGAAGTAATATGACAAGATTTTTCAATTTGCTAGGTGTTGTTTAAGAAACTGATATTGAAAGGTTTTTTTTTCTTAAATTTAACCAGCTCCACTTGCACACTTTTATCTCATTGAAAGATAATGAAAATGTGACAAGTTCAGTTATTTATGATGTCATAAGTCTTTTTAGTAATTTATGTTGGACTTTGTAGAATAATTTACTGTATCCACTGATTTATATTTAAAAGAATATTATGATCCTAGAAAGACTAAGGTTTTGTCGGAAAGTAGACTTTCAGACTAATGTTTCAGAAATATTTTTGTAGACTTTTGTTAAATCCTTAAAGTATTTCATGCATACATTTCTCCATATTATGTTTTTTTCCATTTTATATAACCAGTCCTATTGTGGATGTGTATCTGTATTCGGCTAACACAATATAGTTTCTGTTTAACCTTCACAGCCCACGAAAATGGATATTTCAAAGACCAGATTGTGCCTTTGACTATAAAATTGAAAGGAAAAGAAAATATTTTTGATTTTGATGAACATGCCAAACCAAAAACTACAATGGAAGATCTAACTAAACTTTCTCCAGTATTTAAAGAAGGAGGAATAGTCACTGCAGGTAATGCATCGGTAAGTAGAATATGACATTTAACCCTATGGTGACTGGTGTACATTGCCCAAGGGCGATACAGTTGAATTAATTATAGAAAATATACTTTTTTCATTCTACCACACATTTTTTAAAGATAATTCATAGCTGATTTATTCAGTAAAATTGTATTACTTGTTTAATTTTGTACAATAATTAAAAAAAAAATTGATTTTAGTTTGATTTTGTTGTAACCTGGATATAAAAAACAAACCTTAATGCATATTCATTTTCTGAAAGTTATGAGCATAATACAGCACTCTTAGCCCCTAGGAGGAAATGTGAAATGGTTTGAATCAAATGGTGCTAATTTGAACCTTGTATCTTGAATATAAATGTATATTTGTTGATTTTAACCAATCCTTATTTAATTTACACTTGAAAGTTCTTGTTGAAACTTCATATTTACATAATGATGATGCCTCTACTGGTGAAACTATGGTTGTAATAAATGAAATATCTGTGAAATTTGCAATTGACTTTGTTTTCCTCAATGCTGCAATCATTCTTTCGTAACATTGGTTGTGACGGCATTATGTAAATTGCCTATATTTCTGCTTTGAGAAGTCGTAGGCTAATGATCTAAAAACGTACTGAAAGCTCTTTTCCTGTTCTTTACAATTATATAAGTCACTTTGTCTTCTAGTTCAGAAAGTCTCATGTAGAGAACAAGAGAAAATGGTAAAGATCCACTATTATGAAAGAACAAGTTTATATGAAAACATATTTAAACATTTTCATGTGTTCTCTCAGTCTATCTTTTGACAAACAAAAGTCAGACTGAAGATGACAGGTGAAAGTGGATCTTAATTTTATTTTAGATTATGTGGTATTGTGTATTTACTGGGTGATATGTTGCTAGAAGAAAAGGTATTTGTGAACAACTTTTATGTTATGATTTATGTTAAAGCTTGTAAAAAACTTGATTTATAATTTTATACTCTATTAGAAATGTGGAATTGCAGTATGAGAAGAGAAATATATTTTGGAACAAGACCAGTCTAAAAATTAATAGATTTACAGTTAGATCATTTAGTGCTTGACTGCATCAAATTTTGTTTACTGACAAGGTTACTAATTGCTATGCAATATTTACATTAAGCTTTATTGGTCTACATAAGTACCTGCTAGAATGGGCAAAGAAAGACACTGAAAAGAAATGTAAAAATGATATCTATATATAATTATTTAACCCTATCGCCCCAGGTACCCTTTACTGCACATGACACAAGGTTTTAGTGTCTTACATTCAAAATTTTATTAAAATACTTTTGTTTATTTTATACTAATTAGAATAGCATAAAATTTTAGCTAATAATCCATATTTTAATAGTATATAAGTTTTAAGTTCTTAATTCTACAAGGCAATATTAAAAAAATCTTGAATTTCCACTAGTTTGACCCACGTGACACATTTTCTGTTAGCATGTCATCATCCCTAATTTATCTACCGCCACTCGAAAAAGTATGAAATTAAATGTAAAATATTTTCTGTAAAATTGTTATTGCTCAAACAAACCATAATTTTTATAGCCTTCAATTTTGTTTGGTTACAGAGCTATCGAATAGAAACTCAGACCCCTCCTGCCACACCTACCTGTCACATCCTCTCTCTCACAATTCGCTGATAGTTCTCTCTTATGTTTCATTATATATTACCTATAACCAAATGATGTATAACGTTATGTTCTGAACTGTTCAATGTCAATTTCATTCAGAGTATGAGCAATGTTCTCGTGGGAAAGTTAACAACTAGCTTGGATGAATATGTAATGGCTCTTGTCACATAGTTAGAAAGCCAGGAAAATTTTGAGAGGTAAGTGAATTGTCTACTTTTTGCATGTTATTAGTCTATATTCTTTGGTGCAGTATTTAATTAAATAAAAATTATTAAGTGCATTACTATCTAGAGTATAAAAAAATTATGGTTAACTCTCTTTGAAAACCCAAGAGCAAGAAAAAAGAAGATTTGGTAAGTACTTTATTTCTTGTTTTTCATATTTTTTCTTTAAGTTACTTAAGACTAGATTACTTAAAATAAGTAATAATAATAAGATAATTGAAATGGTTCATGCACATGAGCAGCTCGTGGGTAATGTAATTTGATGGTGTTACACGAGCTGCATGTTCCCTGAGTGATTTACAACTTATAACGGAGGGGACAATAAAACAATAAAATTTAATTATAAATAGATGCATACTGTTATTAACTTAGAGCTGCTTAGGATAAACGAACGTAGTTTCATGTTGCAATGCGAAGTCATTCTAGAAAGGAAAAAGGATAATTTAGGTTTATTTTGATTTTTTTTGGTGGTTACGAGGTCGGTCGAATTGACTGATCCCGTTTTAAGATAGGGTGGAGAAAATAACAGATAAACTATGAAGTTTTACTGAAAAATAACGTTTAAAATGCATTTAGGAGGTTTTAGGGATTACAGAAAAGAAATTTGAGGTTTTTGAGATGAGGAAAAGTATTTTTAATTTTAACATGAAAATTACTTTGCACACGGACTATTCAAAATAAATACTCAATATGTTAATTGACAAATTTTTATTTTATTTTATTAAACATACTTCACTAAAATATATAAAGTATTTTGTATGTGAAAGACATAATATGAACTGAAAGAGTGCCAGATATACACACTATATTGAAAGTTAGAAGTATTAAATTTATAAAGACTTTAATCAAGTACAAAGAGGTCACATGGTCAGTCAAATTGACAGAGCATGTGTTGATAGAGTTAAATAAGCTACATAATCATTTCAACAGATCCATCAGAAGGAAAGATAGTGTGAACACAGCATATCTAAACCTTGGATGAAATATGGTTAAACTTAATTTCTTAGCATTTCATTTACAGTATTATTTTGAAATTTATGTAAACACTTTATATTTACTATAAAATAAGTTAAGATATTTAATTTAGGTTTTTGATCTAATATATTCATATTAGATATTAAGAATTGTATATTACTGCAAATTTTTTATATTTAAGAAGTTATGAATGTATAATACCCTGTATAGCGTGTATTGGAACATTGCTATTTGGTGATGGAAGTCCATATATTTGAAATGTGAAGTCATTTCTTTTGTTACAAATATTAATATTACTATGATTATTAATTATCTTAATATCCATATTTAGATCATGTGCTTTAGTGTCTGATATGGAAATATTTTTGATTTGTAAAACTGCAGGGTAAATGTTATCAATATAATTACTGAAGTGAAAAAAAATAAATTTGGATTTGTAAAGCAATAAATTCATTTTCCTTATAATAAAGGTACAAGTTAGTGACACAACTTTAATAATTAGCTCATGTCAGTATACCTACTGTTTGTTTAAAATATGTTTATCAAAATGAATATAATTATTATATAAATAAAACTAAATATATTTTTAATATTATTAGTGGTAAAAGTTCAGGTTTCTGCTTTTATAGGTGGCTCAATAAATTGATCATCAATACCAAATCATTAAGTGGTATAGTTGTAAATAATGTAGAGAAATCATGTTTGAATTGTATCTGCTGATTGTGTTTTATCTAAATTTTCTAGGGTTTTTAAAACAGGTTCATTATTTTTAATTGTCCAAAAATTATGTTTATTATTTATATTTTGTTATATTTTAATGAATAATGGTTCAGTAATATATAGAAAACCACAGACCATATTTTCCATGGACTATTGTGGAAAACGCCAGCACCAGGGGAGTACCTGTCCACTTCCCTTGCTCATGGATGCTGCCTTTTTTTAAGATAGGTTGTGCAATAACCCAGCACTTTCTCCAGTCAAAGATCTGTGCAGTGGTTAGTTCCAGTTGGATCCGAGCACTTCTTCAGTCTCCCCAGTCTAACACCCTTACCATTCCTGGCTCCTAGCCACAGGAGCGGTTGATTTGGAGAGATCCTCATTGATTCTATGATTTCTTCAGAGAGTCTGAGTGGATAGCTCAATGTGGTAGGAAGTAGGGTGGGCATGAGTGTGTTCACATCAGTGAAATGCGGGTCATCACTTATTATATTGTATACCAATTTTCCAGTGGTTTTGACTTAGCTGGATGGGACAAAGTGTTCACCTAAGGAGGCAGTAGGGACCTTAATCCTTGTTCCTGTTTGTATGGTGAGTAAATTGTACAACAGAGCACATAACAAACCATATTGTCTGGTTATTGTCCTAGACACACTACTCCTCATGTTCATCCAAATTGTTTTGTGTAAATGCTTGGTTGGTCATACATTTTTTCTGCCCATTCTTGCAACACATTGGCTCATTTTTGCCTTCCTCTTTTCACACTTCCATTAGGGCAAAGAGTATACCCTGCTTTTGAAGGATTCATCTTTCACGAGTGTTGTCCCTTTTGTAAGCTTCTGTTACTGAGTGTCATGCTGCATGAGTTTGCCATTCTGAAACCTTCTTTGGCGAAGTTTATTTAGGTTTTCTCTTTTGCACCAGCATCTCCACCACATCATTGTGGAATCCTAGCTACGGTGTGCAGAGAGTTAAGTGAATCATTTTGGAAGTTAACATTTTCTTTACCATAAAATGTCTTCCTGATAGATACTTACCTCTCTGCACATCTTTCTACCCACTACCGGTGCCCATTATTTTTGCTTTGTCTAAGAATGAAGTTAATTTCAAGTGGTTATGGGGATTTACTGCACATGGAGGATGTGTTGTCCATGTATTGGTGGAGAGTTATTGTCAGGTGATGAGTACATCATGTACAAGTGCAATTCATACCAAAACATGTGATTTATGTGGGAAGTACTTCAAGATAGTGGCATGTGCAAAATCTCAATACCAGGCATGTGAGAAATAGTTACTGTGTGAAGAGAGGTAAGTATCTGTTAGAAATACATTTTTATAACTTTTTGGTCAATAATATAAAAAAAAATCTTGTTTTATTTATTTCATATTTTTTACTTTTTTTTTCATATGTTTCAGTGCTCATATGTAAAATTCATATAGTGTTATTAGAATAAAAATGGACAGTTAAATTAGCATTTTCAATAAAACAAAAGTTTTATCTGATATATTTACAAAGTTTTAGGGAGCTATTAACAAAATTTTAAAATAAATAAAAATATCTAATATTCCATAGAATTGTACATGTTGTTTTATTTGCTTAGTGTTTTGCCTTTATACCTTCATCTGGAGCGTACAATTTCTATAATGAACGTTATTACTGAAATTACAGTCATTGATCTGAAAAAGTACTGAAAGCTCCTTTTATATTGTTTGAGTGATAGAGTTTGCTACTAAAGTTATATGCTCCTGATGAAGATGTGATGCCGAAATCCTGACCAAATAAAACAACTTGTAATTGCGTGTAGTATGTGCCCGTGAGCATTAAAAAAAACAAAAAAAAAACAACAACTAAGATGAAAAGAAGTATTTATTATTGCTTTTTAAAAAAAGCTGCATTTCAAAATAGAACTTAAAAAATTTCCCCCAAAAAATCTATATACTGAATATAAGATTTTTTTTCATAGAAATTACATGTACTTTAGAATGTTTATGTCAAGCTTGGTGTAATTTTATTCACTAAACTATTTATTCAAAAATTAGGGCCATGGATTTTACAGACCTAATATTGAAAGAATTAATACTTATCAGACCAGTTAGGTGAATAATGACATTTTTTTATATGAAATAATTTTTGTAGTTTTGAACCTGAAGAAGGGTCAGTATAGGTTTTTATTCATACTCATCCTCCGACATACTAATCTTATATAAAAATGTGTGAGGTTATCAAGCTTTCCACATGTGATGTTATAATGGTTTGGGAAACCAAAGACCCAAATTCTATTCAAGTAATAAGCAATTACTTTTCTGAGGTTTTCTATAACAAACAATAAAAATTGTCATTCTTTGCTATTTGTTTATCATGTTAAAATGAAATTAATTAGGACATTATTTGTTGTTAATTTTTTGTGTGTGGCCCAAATCAAATGGTTAACATGTATTGGATATGTCATGAGTAACAGTGTGCTGTATGAATATTTATTTCATTGTATCACTGTGTATACTTGTGGCTTTTTCTATGCTATATCAAAATGTAGCACTCTTATGTTAGCTAGATAACCCACAGTAAGTGTACATGTACTTAACTGATCTTATGCCTGCTCTTTCTTTAATAAGAGTTTTAACAATGTAATAAAAAAGTAAGTTATGGTTTATTTATAATGTGGAATAAGATATAAAAAATAATTTTTGAAACTATATATGGAAGAAAAATTTCGGTATTGGCTAATGCCATGTGTATTTGAAGACAGGTTTTTTTTCAAGCATGCTGATCAGATTATAGTTTTCCCTGCATCACTTCTCTACATTTTATTTTGTGGAGAAATGTATTAGGTTTGTACATAAAATTCCCTGCTTTTTCCCAATGGTGGAAATTAAAAAAAAAAAGAGCTGGCATTATGCAAAAGAAGTTGACACAGTTCTATGTCATGAGGGTGATACTCAAAGAAGTAAATATTAAGACACGAGTAGATTATCCACAATACAGTAGTGAAGTGGCTCTTTTTTGTCTTTTTTATTTGGTTATGGCTTTATTGTTTCATATCTTGTCATTGGTTTTGGTATAGAATGTAGAGGATTGAAGAACTCTCTTTTTTCCACCCTGTTCATATTCACGCATAAAAAATTATTTTATTTTCTTCTTTGAGAAGGTATGTTCTCCGTTTCTGAATTAATGTAATTTTTCTTTGTGTGTAGGTTGGATAGTGGTTGTTGGTTTTACTTTTCAGCTGAAGAAGATATTGATTACTTTTCTGCCAATTGACAGATTTCCAACTCTTGAAACATCAATCTCCTCCCCACATGATTAATGAAATATCAGTCTCCTCCCCCACATGATTCATGAAACATCAGTCTCACCCCCCCACATGATTAATGAAATATCAGGGAGTGGAGGACAGTTTTTAGCACTAGCCTTTTAAAAATGTATATACCGAACTCAAGTCCTGTTTAAAAATGTGTATGACCCATGAGAAGCTTGTATACACATTTAAAGCAATAATATTTTTTTTCTTTCTTATCAGCTGATACTTTCAGTGTACAAGTGTTTGCAGCACATCCATGGCTTCATTTTAGTAAGGCAGCAACTAATTAAGATGGTATGAAATGCACATGCCTCAAGATTGGGTATCCTTTGGTGTAATTCATCAAAACTACGAATGATTGCTGATAAGTTTAGTGGGTATGACTGGGTCTTTTTACTAAATTCAAAATAGAAGTTTTAATTTAGTGAATGATGTATAATGCTAGCTCATTACCTCAATAGTATATACCACTTACAGATACAAAGTTGCTACCACCAAGTTCAGATCTACTAGCTAAGGGAGTTATTTTAAGGCACATATATTATAGTTAGAAATCAAGTTAAATGTTAATATTTATAGGACATTGTTTGCTTTTGGTATTTAGTGTTCTAAAGTGCATACTTGAAATAAATAAAAATTATTTGATATACTAGTACCCATTGTAAGAAAAACAAAGGCTTAAATTTCATCAGCAAAGAAACAAGAGGCCAAACTTAAGTACTAAATTTATTGTTTTAATGTATGTTTTTTATTTGTGTATATAAAAGTAACTAAAATTTAAGAAATAGAAATTGTAGTTAGATAATATAACCCAACTGAAAATAGTTATGTATAAAAAGATAAAAATATTTCAGCAAGGTCTGCATGCAAGCTGCTCATGAATTATGTAATTCATTTATGTAACTTGTGCTGTGTGGTTGTTGAACTGTTTAGCTTTTTATGTAGGGTCAGTACTTAGACACAGTTCAAAGAGTAATATACAATAAAATTAAATGAAAATAAATATGAAAAGGATAGAGGACTGAATATATTACAATAAATAACTGTAATTGTCTTATGATATGCAGTCATTCTAGAAAGAGAAAAATGGGTAATTTATTTTGTATTTTTTTGTGGTAGTTATAAGATCAATCAAATAATTATTTTGTTCCTGACTCTTCTTTCTTGAGGGCATCATTTACCTGTATTCATAAACTATATAGGGATAGGTGGATATGACAAGAAGACTTGTATTCATGCTGATGGCCTTAGAAAATTCCACATGACCTGGAGATAATTTTTCCTGCACAATATTTTTACAGTTTTGTACTAGTGAGCTATGCTTGATCTCATCTTGCGAGATCAAAATTGTCTTCAGCAATCATACTGATGTGCATGTTGCTATGTAAAACTGTTTCACCAAGCCAGACCATCATCCAGCTTGCATAATTGATTTGTCTGGTTCCATATTCAAATCTCCATAGCCTAACTCATAATTTTCTTCAGTAATTGCCTTGTCTTTGATAGGGATATTACGATCTTCATTGCTGTGACCAACATGGATTCTTCACAAGTGTTCTGTAAATGCACAAATAGGGATATGTTAATCAAGGTCCCCTAGATTTAATGCACTAATTATGTGATCAATTACATGCATGAAATATTAACACAATCCTTCATCCTTCCATCAAGATGCTCAGTTATTTTATGCAGCAAGTGTGAATAAGAACTTTTTTCATACTTACACTCTTGGTGTAGCATTTTCTATGAGTGAGCTACCTCTGAGCATGTAATTATTTGTAGTTTTTGATTAAATGTGTGTATTTAAAGGTAATTGAATTATGTTTATGTTACCTGCTATTTCATTAACGGTTTAATGTTTTCTAATAAACAAAATGAACTATAAAACAGAATTTATGTTCTGCATTTAAACTGGTGGATTAATGGTTGAAATTGTAGTTCACTTACGTAGTGATGACCATTCTAACATTCTTTTGTTAATGGCGTAACTGAGTGAGATTGTTTGTACCAAGTAACAAGCATTTCTTTCCATCATCTTAAGTTTCATGTTTTCAAGCTGCTATTGAAGTGTGTGTTTGACTTTTCCAACAACAAACAGTTGAGTAACAAAAGTAATTATACATAAACCTGAGCCATAAGCTGTTGGTGAAGTTTACATATTAAACTTACCCAAAAACCAATGGTCAAGGAATAAGGAAGTATTTCTACATATATACAGTTAAAAGGACTACAATGTTAAAATAATTACACAATAAATAATTTATTAAAACAGGAACCAGCCCTAAAATGACTACATGTTTTGGTGTTTTCACATCACCATTTCCAGGAGTAAGAGTTGAAGTTTGGGCAAGACTTGTATACTACATAATCATTTGTTTCTTTAGCGCCATCTATACTGATGGTGAAGTATGTGTATTAGATTTTTCTGACAACAAATAGCCAAGAAACAGAAATATTTATATATACTATTGGACTCTAAGATTTATCATCACAAGTATTGTTTTTAATACTTTAAATTAGAGATAAACTTTGAATTGAAGTATTAGGTTATTTTTATGTTAGTATAAAGAACCAAGCTGATCTCAAGTTTATCCTATATTTGGGTTGGCTGCTCATTTAAAGAACTATTTTATATATCTTCTTTCAAACATTTGAAAACTTAGAGGAACATGTATGTAGTAAGGAGTGAAATGCTATGTCAAGTTGTCTCTCAAGACTACACTAATTATTATAAGGTATAACAGAGAACATTTGTTTCTCAGCATAAGGAGCAGTTTCTTATTTTTCTGCTAGCTGCAACTTTCTAAAATGTAAATGTGAAATGTGTACAAGCAGATAAGCTTGTGAAAGACACATTTTGGGAAAGCTTAACTTGCCAAACAAGTTTCTAGTTAGTTGGCACATCACCTTATAATCCTAGTTAAAATGAAGTTTAAGAAAGATCAATTGGAATAACACCTTACAACAGTAAATTTCTTATTTTTCTTTTCAGATCTTTTAAAATTATTTTATAACAGTATGATGATGAACAGTTAAAAAATTAAAATCATATTTTGTGAGGTAAAGTCAGTAAAACATATTTTACTTCCTTTTTTTTTACTTTGTATAGGGAATTTCAGATGGAGCAGCAAGTTTAATACTAGCCAGTGAAGATGCCATTGAGAAGCATAAATTAAAGCCTTTGGCAAGAATAGTTGGTTACAGTGTTGTTGGTGAGTGTCAGAAATTTAAGGTTTTATGAGACATTTACTTTTTTGGAATAGAGAGAAGTGTTAATCAAATACATTGCAGTATTTTTAATACATTTTAAATGAAATCAGTTACTAATTTTATAACAAATTTGTAGACTCTCTTGCTGCAGGCTTGGTTGAGTCAGCCAAGTTTTTGACCCCGAATTGACCTTTATAGTTCCTGTTCTATAACTTCTAATATGTTTTGGGTATCTTCACGAAATTTTGCAAGTTTTCAGTAATCATTAAAAGTCATTTCTAAACAAAAATATAAATTTTTAATGAAGTATTTTTCACAAAAAATATCCCCATGAATATATGCAGTCAAAGTGTTGAATTCTCCGAGTGGAATGTGATTTTCATGTTAAGATTAAAAATACTTTTCTTTATCTGAAAAATCTCAAAGCTCATTTATTTAATTTTTAAAACTTAAATGAACTTGAAATGTTTTTTTTTCAGTAAAACTTTTTATTTTATCTGTCATTTATCTACTCTTACTCTATGCGAGGTTTGTGAATTTGACTGACCTCGAAAACCACTAAAAAAATCGAAATAATCTAAATCACTTTTTTTTTTCTAAAATGACTTCATATTGTAACATTGACTGAAGCTTAATGGTAAAGTTTTCTAGTTTTAGTGTACATTGTTTTTGTTTTGCTTTAATAGAAAAAGACTATTAAACTCTAAAGATAGACTTACCATGGAGACCTTGAGAATGTGTACTTTTCTTCATGTATCTAAAAGCTAATTGCAGTATGTTTTATAATTGTTTGCTTAGAAATATCGGATTATGGTTCAAGTGTAGTTTTACATTGAGTTGTACTTCTGTTATAGGATGTGATCCCACTATTATGGGGATTGGCCCAGCTCCTGCCATACAAAAACTATGTGATCAAACAGATGTGAAGATGGAAGATGTGGATCTTTTTGAGGTGAAAAATTCTACTTCAGCATCATGATTTTTAACAAGTTTGAAAGATGCTGAAAATAGTATCATAAGGTTTTGAGCAGTAAAATACACATACAAATAATTTATTTTGTTTAAAAAATAGTTTTCTTTAGGTGGGTTTGATAGGAGTGCTGGAATTTTATAAGTAATGTTAATATTCTCTCACTTAGATACACTTTTCTCACTTGTTTGTACCTACATTGCTTAATGTTTCACATTGAAAAATATTAGGGGATATTATGTATAATTAGTGTGTTAACAGTTCTGCAACAATAGTTGTCTTGGATTTAAATGTTTCAAATTTTTGATGTAATCAATCATGAAAACAAATTATAAAGAAAAAGTTTTTGAGGCTAATAGTAATTATAAATTAAAATAAAGCATTTTATTGTCTGTTTACAAATAAAAGATATTGCATATTTTACAAACCAAATACAGCAAACTTTCTCAACCAATATTTTTATGAGCTCATGCTACTTTTTTGATGTTTTTACAAATATTTTTAGGTGAATGAAGCATTTGCTCCTCAGGCTTTAGCAGTAGAAAAGGCTCTTGGTTTAGACCCATCCAAAACAAATGTCAATGGAGGAGCAATTGCATTGGGTCACCCTGTTGGAGCATCAGGAGCAAGAATAACCACAAACCTTGTTCATGAGCTGAGGTAGGATGTTTGAATGTGTGTGTGACATTCAGAAATCCCATACTCCATTGTCTTACAATAAATATCTTTAATATAGCAAGTAAAAACAAATTTCATAGATCTGCTGATGAGAACTCAGTAAGTTGGCATAAATCATATACTAACTTAGCATTAGGTATTAATCTTTATGATGCCACTTGACGTAGAACATTATCTGCTGTTCTGTGAGACAGTTGTATTCAACATTACCATGGATGCGAGGTTATTTTACAACTGTTTGATGTGGAGACTATATTCTGGATTCCTGCAATCATAATTGCTATTAGTGGGTGTTTTGGAATTTTCTTAGAGATTAGCTTTTGCTTTCAGGGGGTCAAACTCTGCCATAAAGTGCTATGTTGTAGTCTTGATTCTTTCTTCTATTTATGATCTGTGTTGTAGTGATAAATTATGCCATAGGTTCAGTTTTCCTTTGAATTTATTTTAGTTTTATTTGCATTCTTTTTGTCAGTTTTATTTTTACTGTAATTTTACCATTTCAATCTGGTGGACATGTGAGATAGTAGAGAGAAAAATAAAGAGCATTACTTGTGTTTGTCAAGCTACTTGGAACTTTCTTCTGTGGTTGTTTTCATTAATATTTCATTCATGAAATCTTCAAATCTCTTATTATTCACGAGTGGTTTATCTATATGCTAAATATTCCATCAAGAAATTTTGATGCCTGTGACTAGGATAGGGTCTGGTTTGAAATGGAATGCTAAGTGACAGGTTTACTTTCAGATTGTTTTTCAACCATTGTGTTCTGAGAACAAGGTTTGTAGGAGTCCTGGAAAACCTGGAAAGTCCTGATTCAATTTCTAGTGTAGAAGGTGTTTAGGAAAATGGAGCTGTTGTCAAGAGTCCTGGAAAACTAATACGTTTCATTAAAATATTTTTACCTTCAAAATTTAATAAAATATTGACAAGCTAAAACATTTTTAATTCTCATTTATTTTAAGCCATGTACCATCAAATTTTTCACTCACATGAACAGCAAGATACCTATAACAAGACAACTGTAGCTACTTTTTTGAGCCCTGAATGTGTAATAAGCTAATTAAAAGAAGGGAGGCTCATGCCACTTATTAAGTTGCAATGCTTCAGTAGCAGATTTTCAATTTTAGCCATTTCAGTTGTTTAAAGATCACTGAAATAATAAAACAAAAATCAATAATTTGCAAGTAAAAAAAGAAAAAAAATTATTTAAATAAGATAAGAAAGCCGAGACTGATTATTTAATTTCTGTAGTGCATATTGGTGTATAAAAGAGATTTTAATACTAGTAATATATAATTTTTGTTTAGATTGGCAAGCCGATTTACAGTATGACTTCCTGGATTATTATTTCTGGCACAGAGGCAGATCTGGTCTCTCCTGATATCTAGCGTATAGCATCTCACAACAATCAGGGGATGGGGAGTAATTCTCAGTTGAGACTGTCAGTGATCTTATTTGTTGTGAGATGGAGACATATAATCGGTTCAGTGTTGTTCCTTCGGGTGGTTCTGAGGCTGCAATTGAGGGTGATCCTGGACATTCTGGAGATAATTTAGATTTGCTTTTCCTGCACCTTCTTTTATTCTGGTGTCTTCTTAGTCTCGCTGTGGGACAGTGGTAAGTTTATGGACTTGCAATGCTGGAATTTAAGCTTTGATTCCCTATAGTGGACACAACAGATAGCCCAATGTTGCTTTGCTCTAACAAAACAAACTTACCTGACAAAATGTTGTTACAAACAACAGTAATAAGAACAGTCTTTAAAATAAATACAAAGGAGGCCACTTAAGGATGATAAGCTGCGTCTGATTTGTTTTCTTCAGGTGGAAGCATATTCTGACTCTCAAATAATACATCTGCTACTCAAAATTAGGGGTTCTAAGGCAGAGTTTGTAATTAACCTGAAAAGATCAATGTCCCCTGGTGGGACAGTGGGAAGTCTAATGACTTACAACTCTAAAGCCTAATGTGTTGTTTTCCTAACAATTAACTTTGTTGGAAGACTCTCAGGGTCATCAACTTTATTGATGACAAACTGGAACCATTGTTTACATGCACACATTAGTTTGATTGTTGGCTTATACATTCATCCCTGTTCTCATTGGTGTCTCGACCTCCATCGGCTCCTACAGGGGGTCATATTTCTACCTCTATTTGAGGGTCCTGACCCCTGACATCAGCTCCTCAGTACACTGGTACCCAGTATAGATTCTGTCCATATCCAAGGGTTCTGTTGCTCAGTCAGAATGCCACCAGCAGTGTCTGTGATTATTGTATGTCTTCAAGGTCTGGAATTTCTGGAAGGGTGTTAACCTTAATCACGGATCTATGGGCACTACAGGTCTTTGAGTCAGGATTAGTCATTCTGGTCACATCTTCACTACCATTAGCTACCAAACCTCTAAGGTTTCCGTCTTTCATAGATCCTCGGATTTTGGAACTTAGTTTTATGGCTGTCAGAGTTTGATTGGTCTGGGGAGAGAGAGAGAGCCCTAGTTGGGCCTAACAAGACAGGAGATTGGTGTCTGGACTGGCCACTCATTGGAACAATCAACTACTGGCAATTTGGTCTCCAGTACCCTACCTTTAGGCTTTGGCAATGGGTGCATTCCATCAGGATGGGACAGGATTACAACTCTAGGCCTTCCCTCCAATTCATATGTTACCCAAGGTATTAACTGTGATTTGTTCCAACCCATTTTCAGGTCTTGTTGATAGTATTGGATTGACAGCTACACCATGGTTTCTGCTTCTGCAGTACCTTCAGGAGTACTAACCTCTTCTACTTCCTCTTTGGCTATCTTTGTGGAGGCAGCCATGATCTGACAGGGTACACCTGGCTACCCAAAAGCTCAAGCTTCAGGCATGGAGATTATGTAGTCCTTCACATGGCATCAAGGTTTCATTTCTAAGGTTGCCATGTATTGATCTCAGTCTTTGCTTAGTCCCATGATGAACATTTATCAATGTAAGTGGCACATGTATTGGCAATGGTGTATTGAGAGGAGGTTGAACCCACTGTGATCAGAAGTGCCAACCATAACTCGTTTTTGACATGGTTCTTTGGCAAGGGTTTTGCATCTTCCAGAATCATCCTATATAAGGCAGCCTTATCAACTACCGTTCGATACTTGAGACAAAAAATATTTTGAGTTCCCAGTACTCTCCGGATTCTTCAAGTTGCTTTTGGTCTTTTGTCCGAAATGACCATTACAGTTATCTAACTGATATATTAAGATTACATTACATGCCATTTCTCAACACCCATTTGTGACATTAGCCTCAATTGCCATGTATCACTTTACCTGAAGGTTTATTTTTTATTGTTGTTGCTTCTGACCTACAGACATCACCGATCAGAGTGGTTTGTGCTGATTGTCCACAGGATGCTTTATCATTCTATCTATGTCCTCAGACTGGTTCTTCTTACCTAAGACACTGTCAGCCAGGGAAGGGGATAGATTATTCTCACTGTTCATCTGATCACTATTTCTCACTTCTGTGACCAATCAGATATTGATCATTGTTATGTCAGTGAGGGTCTTGAAGGTTTTATTGCCCACATTAATGCCTTTAGAGATGCTAGACAACAATTTTTTAGTTATTGGGATCATTCAGTTTCCCAGGATTTCTCCCTGGTTACATTGATGAGGTGGGTATGAAATTAATACATATTCTGGGCTGTTTTTGAAGGTAAGAAATCTTCTGTGACTTGTGTCTAATCAAACTTGTCAAAATTATATATGTTTAGCAGCCTGGTTGAATTGCCTGCTGGAAGACATTTGCAAACTGGTATGTGAACCTCCCCCAATACTTTTATCTCACATAATTTGCATGATCTGGCAGTATCTTCTGTGGGTTTTCAACTACCTCCTGTAGCTATCTTAACCACTTCAACTTTCAGGGTCCCTTACCTTGTTTTCACAGGATCCCACTCTGTGGCAAGTGTTGTACAGGCAGGTGTGCTTTTATCAAACCAATTCCTCACTATCAACCACTAATTCAATATATTTTATCTAAGTTGCAACAGGTTCTGTAGAAATGAGGTGTTCCATTAGACCACCTAGAGGCTGACCAGGTGGTATTACAGTAGTATGCTGAACCACTACTTAAGGACTATCATAAGTAAAGCATAAGGGGATCCTGCCCATCCCTGCCAATCATTGGACTGAATAAATCGGGGTTGGTTTGCTTTTAAAAATTTAGGGAACTTGGTTCACTTATTGCACTGTTTCCACAGCACTGTTCCTCAAAACTCCCCAGTGTGCATTACCCCTAGATTTTACTAATAAAGCTGGGGAGTCCTTACCATACCAAGTTTCCAGCCATTGGGGTGGTGGACAGAGGCTTTTCCTCCAGAGTGTTAGAGTAAATTTCCTCCACTTTTGGAGAAGAGGGCAAAATTGGGGGCCCTCCTACCTAGGTCCCTGGATGTTTTCTCCCAGATGTCGGTAGGAGAGGCATCAGCCTACATGGGAGCCTACTTGTAGCACCAGTTCAGATTTGACACTCAGCTATCCGGTTAAGTTGAGCATGGCCCTTCTTTTTGGACCTCTGCTCTTGCTCTCTTGGCTTTGATGTGGCTCAAGGCAGTTAAGGTACTTGTAATGTTTCTTTTGGAGTACCAAGAAAGACCTGGACTTTACTATCAAGCCTAATACAACCTGAATCAGGCTGAACAAGCGGATAGAACAGCCTGTGCAATATGAGATCAACAGCTGAAAGGATTTGGCAGTTTTTACTTTTCAAGCTATTAAGTGGAATTCCACTTATAAGAGCCATTTGATTGCAATCATAGGTGGTAGATCATAGGAAATACTCAGCTTTGAATTAACATGGGAACCATCTGTGTTCTTCTTTTTCTCCTTATGACCTTAATTCTATACTTGTATGGTATCAGCTGCTTGGAACTCCCTCCTTCATTGATTACAGTCCTATGTATCATTTCTAGTTGCACCAAGATTCATATTTTGGTTTTGGCCAGGGTTTCTACATCCAGGTGACCAATCCCAATGGTAACCTTCCTCATTTATCCATGCCTGGGGTAGGCATGCTCAGTTGGAATGAGTATGTCTGAGTTTCTTAATTGAAATGTACTGCAGATACACTAATTTTATTTTATAAGCAGTGAAACATGGAGAAGTGAAGAAGAGAAAGATCACAACAGTGAAAGTTGACAAAAGGAGAAATGAAGAAGAATTATAGAAAGAAAAAAACACCAGAGAATACCAAGTGTTCACATCTCCAAAAATTGACATTTGATCTAATTATTATTTTCATTAGAAAAAAGTACAGGGTAACATTGTTTACTTACTGTTTTATCCTTTCAAAACTATAGAATATGGGGAATTATGTATTTTACTTTGTGTTGGTAGTGTTTGGAGTTTATTCCATAAATGGTAATACATTATGGCCAAAAGTAAAAGTGCACATCATCGTAACTTTTTTCCTACTTTGCTTATAATCGTGCATTTTTTATTTTATTTGTGTGTATATACACATTTACATACTCAGGTATGGTAAACATGGCCTATGTGTTTGTGGATTCTCACCTGTAGCAAGATGCCACACTTTACTTATCATGGCTCGAGGTATGACTTGTTACAGGTCTATTTTTGGATGGTCTTGGTGCTGATTCAGATCTTTGTTTTTCAATGGCATTTACTTGAAGGGATATCCTCATCTTATCTGAAAACATCTCTATGATCTGATTGTATGAATATTTCCTTTCAGAAAAGGATTTTACATAACCTTTCCCAAAAGTGATCAATTTATTGTGGCATCACACTACCTAAAAAATGCCAAACAATGTCAAAATGTAGTTTAGTTCTGAAACATCCATTCCACCATGACTGTATTAACTGTGGTAGTTTCTGATCTGCCTATTCAAAATTGTTTCAGTGTAATGTACTTAACCTTCTGTATATAGGTGCCTGAAAATATATTTTAAGTTTTTGTTTATGTTTAAAGATTTTGTGTGTCACATCTATTTTATTGGGGTGGTTATGGTGCCTAAATTTAAGGTATAATTCTTTTTTCTGAGTATATGTCTATAATCCAAATTGCTTTTTTTTTCCATGTTTTCCATTACTTTAGATCTGCTGTACACCAAATTCATTCAATACATTGCAGCATTATGCATTCCTCCTGGCTATTCCGTGTTGTTAGTGTTCAATCTAACTAAGCACTGCTGTTTTTATAAGACTTATAATTTCGAGATTTATTTCAAATTTAAAATAAAGCTAGCTTAAGGACAAGCCTAATGTAAAGTAGAGGGTTGTGGTATGTAGGCATCACATATCTCGTTCACTTACAATATCAAGGGTGAAAGTTCTCCATCTATAAATGGAAATCTGTCAAAATGGCTCTTCCAGCTTGATTAAAAAGCATTATTTTAAGTTAATGTGAAATAAACACACTTCACAATTTATTGAAAAGACTGTTCTAATATTTAGTGGTATAAACTTCCAACTACTTTTTTTTTGTATGAGGAAAGGGTCATAATTGGTTAATTCAGTGATGCGTTTTTATTGCAATTGATGTTATAAACAATTTTTGAGCATACTTATAACATTATTGAGTATTAATGTTTAAAAAATGTAACTAGCCTCTTATGATTATCAGGTAGGTCATCTAGTAAAAAGACAAGTTGTTATTTCTGAATTTCTGTTTCCTTTAAAGTCAAGTTTAAATTTGATTTTGAAAATTATCCAAAATGGTTTGGAATTCAGCTAAGAACATTGCCAACAACCCCAGAGCTTCTGGGGGCCACCTAGGTTTGAAACTATGGGCAGTACATTTGTTTCAGTCAAAATGATCATTGGACATTTTCAACTTTTCATACAATTGTAATTCATGACCAATAAATTCAGTTTTAATCATAAGCTAACATAGTCCTAAATTGTACTCTTTGTGGCATGATTTCATCTAGAATGTAATCTGCTGTTTTTCAGAACAGTTATATACAATATCATCGTAAGCTATTTTATGACTGTCACATGAACAGAAATATATTGAAATTCTTGCAATTCAGTTTGTGTTTGTTTGAATTGTAAGAGTGGGTTTGGAGTTTTGTAAAGTTTCATGTATCGTTTGAGTCCTTTTAACATCACTTTGTTGTAGTTCCACGTTTTGCCTTAATTGTAATTTTCCTTTCAGGATTAATTTGTTTAATTTACGTTTTGTTTATCAGTATTTTATTTTTGCTGTTTCAACTTGGTAAACACAAGGTTGTAGAAGAAAAATAAGTTTTAGTTCTTGAGCTGTTTTTGTCAAAGTTATCTACCCTTTTCTCTTCTTCACTTTTTTTTTACACATAATATTACATCCACCAAATCCTTATACTTCTTTTTATGTAGAGAGGGTTATATTTGTGCTAAATAGTCCATAATATAGAATACTGTAAGTGTACCTCTGATACAAGGACAGGCCTACCAAAAGTTACCAAAGATAACCCTACCAGTAGTAGTCTGGTATAAAGATAACCCAACCAGTAGTAGTCTGGTATAAAGATAACCCTACCAGTAGTAGTCTGGTATAAAGATAACCTTACCAGTATTAGTCTGGTATAAAGTTTTTAGCTTGTATATGTGATAAAAAGAAACAAAAATGCATGTGTGTGTGTGTGTGTGTATATATATAAAACTACACAGAACAAATACTGATTAAGTATATGCTAAGATAAGCATTATTTTAGGCTTGTTACACAATAAAAACCATAAATAATGGGAGGCTTTCAGACTTTCTCATGTTGAATTATTTAAAAATTTGAAAGTCTGAAAACTCCCTTAACGTGGTAGAATTTGGATTGTTTGACATCTTTTTCTAAACTAATTTGTCATTTATATTATTTACCTTGTATGTTGTAACTTTAAAAATATTAGTTTAAGAAATTCTCCTAATTCTTATTAGAACTGAAAATATTGGAACTTTATTGTATCAGTTTTACAACTTTTATTTTTTTAGTATGATTCGAATTTTTTGAGCCATTTAAAAGTCAATTATCTGTATTTAATGTTTTCTTTTATATTTCATTAGGCGTCGTGGAGGAAAATATGCCATTGGATCAGCATGTATCGGTGGGGGACAAGGCATTGCACTTATGCTAGAAAATGTGAAATGAAACTGTATTTCTTGGTGAATTAAACTTAAATTTTGGTATACTAGCTGGAAAAGATAAAACTTGAGCCATGCATGATTTGCAGTTCTAATGGCACAAAAATATTGCAAGCAAGGGATATTATACATACATCTTTATGATGATATTACTTTTAAGATGATAAAACAGTGCTAAAAGACTGTGAATTCATTTTAGAAACTAAAGTTATGAATGATTTACTATAAGAAGAAAATTATGCTAATTTTTAATACTATGAAACATGAAACATTCTGCTAATGTGAAACAACGTTTGATATATTTTGTACTGTAATATCAACAAATTAAATAAAATATTAACAAGTTATGTAATATCTTTGAGATTTTCCACATTATTAATATTGAACTAACATAATTTTGTATTCCATAATTTAAGTTTCCTTTTGTCTAAACTGGAAGTATTTTAATTATAAAAATACAAAATTAGCCAATTTTTCTCATAAAAGGACTGTTTAGATAAAAGTATTAACAAATTATGTATTTGGTTTTTATGATTTTCTGAATTAGTAAAGGTAAACAAATATTGTATGTTTTTAGCAGTGAAATAACAAAACTTTGATGTATAACGATAACCCTACCAGTAGTAGTCTGACATAACGATGACCCTACAGTATAGCAGATTTTATTTTGATAAATGTGATAAATTACCATTTGAAAGTTCATATTTTGTAATACATGTAAGAACATCAATCATTACTTTGCTAAATATGTGAAATAATACCCACCTCGGCTTACTCTATGCTTCAGCTATAGCCATATCTAATGGCAGCAAAAAAAATGAGTTAGTTAAATTGCCAAACTTCTTCCTAGACAAACATACAGTGCCATGTTATAAGCACATCAGAACAATACAAAGCTCTTTGTTTGTTCTCTTCTATAATTTTGTTTCATATTAACATTCCACTCAACCATTTCTTCGAAACCTCTCATTATGTGTAGTAGTTTACCTTTGTGCCTTTATTCCTGTAAACCAGAAATACCACAAAAACTCAGGATAATAACCAAATAACTAAAAAGTAATATGTCATGAATGAAGCTAAAAAGAGTTAGAGAATTCAGATGGAAAAGAAAAATATGATAAGTAAGGTTTAAAAAATTTCCAGTATACTAACAAGCATGTGTTTAGAGGTGCATCTCTAGTCCAGAATTAAAATGTTACATGTGAAAACAGACTGAAATTCAAATGTTAATTTTTACTAGATTAAAAAAGGGAAAATCATCCATAAACTAGTTCGATGAAAATTAAATACATTACTCACTTAAATCTTACATTAACCTTAGAATTATTTCACCTGTATATGATTTGTTTGTGTTTTAGCAAAAAAAAAAAAGGCCACACAATAGGCTACCTGCTCTCTCTCCACTGCAGAGGAGTGAAACCCAGACATTAACATTATATGTTCTCAAACTTGTTATTTTATTTGTAGACTCTGTTGGTGTATATGACATGCTACTTGCAAACACGCAGAATAAAAAAATATTTAATTGAATCTCAGTAATTAGTGTTAGGAAAGAAAGTGACTTCATCCACATTTTACGAGTTTTTTGCACTGAGTGATGTAACAGGTAAAAACATAAAACTTCTTAAGATGATACGGCATAAAAACAAGATAGTAATCTTAGGGTTAATAAACAATTATACATTACTCGCTGCATAGTAATAAAGAAAATAAAAACAGGTTATTGAAATAAGATGTCATGAACAGTTCAGAAAAAAACACAAACAAAATTATAATGTCATGTCTATATACACACACACACACATATATATATTTAATGTTATAAATGTACCTGCCAAATAAGGTAATTTAAATACATATTAACAAAAAGGGAATTACTTACAATTCAAATGAGTATTTACCTTGTAAACAACTAGTAGCCCCTTCAACTCGTGTTGGACGAAAGGTCCTCCATATGCCAAGTTTGACTTGTATTCTTCCTGCAATATATGCCACACAATGTTCCTGGTCATCTGTAAGTCCCTTGTTTGAATAGTTTTTCACTTTTCTGAAGTAACTCAGCCTCCTATCTGCAGTCTCATTACTGGTCTTGCTCCTACTTTAGAAACAACCAGGCTTCTGTCCATCTTGCAACCTGTCCTGGCAATACGTAATGTGTTTACCATAGAGAGTTCAAAGTTGATGGTGATCTTTATTGGGTGGTGATGGAGGATGTTTTCAGCACTTGGCCAATCATGACGAAGTGTTGGATATGATTAACACAGTTATCACCTTGGGTAATGGTGTAACTGATGCTGTCATGGAAGTTCAGGCCATTGTTTATCTAGAATTCAACTGGATTCCTCTAGCAGACAGGACACAGTAAAAACCTTGTCAGAGGTCTCTTTTAGAATGTCAAGGTAACATTAGTGTGTTCATCCAATGTTAAATTTTTTTTGAAAGCATTGTTTAGTTTCTTATGCCTTTTAGATGTAAAATCTCAATTATCACAAGCAATCCATATTATGAGTTATTTTTGGAAGTGCTACAATCGTTTTGAAGTTGAAATTTTTAAGTCTTATTTTTTCTGACACTACTTTAGTAAGGGTTAAAACATTCCTAACTCCCACATGGTGCTATGTATTTACTTTGTAGACATTCAATAAATTTTCCTAAAAAGAATATACAGTACTGAAAATAATTATGAAAACAGAGGACAAAGTGGGTATATAATGGAAATTACACATGTTAAAATATCTTTTGTGTAAAAATCAAATGGTGCCTCATGCAGTGTTGTGTTGACATGGCACAATGTGAATGGGTGTCAGGGAACTAATTTAAAAGTGTTAAGCCAGCACAAAGCCTATATAAGCATAGGCAATGATACCTTTGTAGAATTTGAAACTTTTGGTGAACACCATAGTTCCTGGAAAGAATTACACCCGACAAGTATAGTAATCAGTTCTAGTTAAAGAAAGCTACTCCTATTGACAGATAACAGCCCAACTTCACATTTCACCCAGTGCTAAAAGTAAGATCGTGAAAAGGCCTTGTGAAATTGGTACTACTGAGAATAGAGGTCGAAGAAGAACACCAAAGTTATCCAAAAGTGATGTAAAGTTACTCAGAGTAAATTCTCTGTCTGATAGTCAATGATCCAGTAGAGATCTTGAGAATGAACTTGCTGCAAGTACAGGTGTTAACGTATTTTCAAGAACAGCGAGATAAGTATTTAACCTAAAATAGTCACAATAGGTATTTAGATACTCTGAAACGTTTGCTGAGGAGAGGTAACAAACAGAATAACTGCAATGGGCAACAAACGTGCAGTGAGATGAACAAACCTAGAAAAAATATCCTTTACAGACGATTCCAAGTTGAACTGTTTAACAATAATCAATGGCAGTTTGTCCAAAGGTGGACTGGAGAGTGCAGTAACAGTCAGTGTACATCTATAGTAAGGCGTTGGGTAGATGGAATCAATGTATATGTGGAACTTTATCTCAGCTAAGGATGTCGGAACTTCCATAGAACCATAGGTACCCTGACTACCAACAGATGTAAGCACATTGTGATTCACCATGCCATTCCCAAAGGAACAAATCTCGCTGGGCAGGGTTTCATCTTTGAAAATGACAATGATCCCAAACACATAGCCAATGTAGTGAAAATCTATTTAGAAAGTAAAGAGGCTGGTGTCATGGCCTTCACAAAGTCCTGATAGGAACGTCATCAAGGCCATTTTACATGGATGCTGAGAAAGTTAAACAGCGACCACACAACTTGGATGAATTAAGAAAAAATGTTACAGGATATTTGTTACAACATTTCGTAGCACTTCATTAATAACTTGTATGGGAGCACGAAATATTTTATATCAGAGTTGAAGCTTAATTATTTAGTAATATTGAATCTGATGGGAATAATCTTAATAGTGGTATGGAAGAAAAGGATATTGGTGTTCTAGTTGATCAGTCTCTTAAAACATCCAAGTAATGCACTGTTGCTAGTGGCAGAGCAAAAATGATTTTAGATTATATCTACAGAAATAATGAGTAAAAGTCTAAAGAGGTTATAATTTCATTTTATAGGTCGTCATTAGTTAGGCAACATTTGGAGTATTGTGTTCCTTACCTTGGGAAGTACAACGAATTATTGGAAAGGGTTCAAAGGAGGGTTACTATGATGATATCTGTGATGGAAATGTTGTCATAGGAATACAGGTTAATATCTCTGAAATTATTTTATCTTTAAAAAAAGAAGAGTTAGAAGGCATCTAATTAGGTTGTTAGGCAGCTAGTTAACACCACCAACTCTTGGGCTACTATTTTGCCAACGGATATTGTGATTGACTGTCACATAGTAAAGCCTCCACGGCTGAAAAGGCGGGTATGTTCGGCGTTCAAACCCACGCCCCGCAGACTGCGAATCGACCGTCCTAACACCAGGTCAAGACCAAGGTATACAGATATGAATTTTGTCAGGGATGGAGTCATCTACAGCTAAGACAGCTTTATCTATCTATTAGGATGGTTGACCTTTGGAATGGGATGATTTCAGATGTGGTGAATGCAGTTAATGCAAGGGAAGACTTGATAAATATTTGAATAATAAGGTTCTGGCTTTGAGTATCTTATTTTTGGTTAACAACAAAGGAATTAAGGAAAAAATATGTTTTTTTTATTATCCAAATTTTACTGTGGAGAATTCTTTTTCACTGTCGTACCTTGTTTTGTAAGAACTAAGACAATTTGAAACTGCTGTATTCAGCTGATATAATATCTAAGACTATTTTAGACTCCGTATTAAATTGATGTAAGTATTCTTCAAAATGACAATTTGTTTTTCATTTTAACTATTTTTATTTATTGGTCTATTTTGTTTATTGTGGAAAGAGTGATGATACTATCAGTTGGTTTACCTTACAATTTAATGTAGGTCAATCTACGAGTGGGAGTAGGCAAGTGTAAATTTAACTTTCCTGTGGAAGAAGTCAAACTGTAAGAAAAATATATTAAATAATTACGTTTTATTGACATTACAGGAAAATAATAATAATTTTAAATAATAAAATCATTATCAAGTTTGTGATTCGACAGAACTTTTCTGAAGGTTTGTTTTTAAAGCTACACAATGGGCTATTTGTGTTCTGCCCACTACGGGTATCGAACCCCGGTTTCTAGCATTGTAAGTCCGTAGACATACCGCTGTGCCAATGGGGGGCATTTCTGAAAGAGCCATCTTTCAAAATCAGTTAAAAGGATGTTAAAATACACAGTAGGGGCCAGCTTGGCTTCCATCTCATTACTGTATTTTTGAAATTAATCCAGAATTTTGGGTGAATAGCTCTAAATCATATAATGATACATTTTGGC